ATTTTATTGGCATCTTGATCTTTCTCTTTCCACGTCCCTCTCTCCTCCGTCTGCTCAGTGCTGCCCCCTGTGGCCGAGAGACACAAGATTCTTCCCGTCTGGAGTGTTTGGTAGATTTCTCTCCGAGTCCCCATCCTGGGCACTGGGTCGGGACAGTATGAGGCGGGCCCTTTGCCTGTCGCCCCAAGGAGCTCCCTGTCCTGCTGCCAGGGGGTTGTCAAGGACAGGGAGGCACCATGGGGTGAGGGGGCTGGTGTCACAGGTCACAGGGTCTGGGGAGTCTCTTCCACACCTGTTGTCACTGTTCTTGGGTGGGTGCTCCCCACAGGGAAGACACCACAGGGAAAAGCAGGCTGTTGGCTCGCCCTGACTACTCAGCAGGAGGGGGTGGGCATGTGGGGTCCTCACACTTCATTGCCTGTGAGCTGCTCCCCCATACACAGCGCACCCCCAGCCCCCACAGCGCCTTTGCAGAGGGGGGGTTCAGCCAGGACTTGTGCAAGTGCCACTGTCCTCAGAAAAGAGGGCCCAGACCCAGGACCCAGGCCCCCCACCACACTGGAGGGGCACCCGCCTGGGGAGAGGCTGCCAAAGGCCCCACTCTGGAAAGTTCAGGAACCATGGACGCACCTCCAAGCCAAGCCCCCGTGATACCTTCGCATCTCGGAGCTGTTAGCAGCAAAGTGAGGTTTATACAAGAAGGAATGCTTCTCGGGGCTAAGTCAAACATGCTGGCTGCATTTCTCTGGGTTCCAGAGGACAGGAAAAATATTCAGTGTGTAGGCGCGTTCTCTGTAGAAGCGGTTTCTGTTTGATTTGGTGAAAGTTCCTCTCAGGCCTGGATCAGCGTTGAGAACTTGCGGGCAGCCCTTCCCTGTCCCGTGGGGGTGACCGCTGGGGGGCACTCACCTCCATGACCAGTGTCCTCAGCTAAAGGGCAAGAGGCTTAGTTCAAGTTCAAATTTTTTATCTCCTTCTCTGATGCAACCCACACACTCAGTGTGCTGCCCGGCTAATCAGATCTTACCGCCTTTGTGGATACTTATTTTATTAATTTATCAAATTAATTGGTGGACACTCTTAATGAAGTGACCTTCTGCTGACCCGCCCTCTCCTATTTTCTTTGCTGTTAACGGTTCACTTCTTGAGGCACTTGGGAAAATTACCTTGTTCTTATTAACTCAGTCTGGCCAGAGGCACCCACAGGGCGGACACCTGTTCCCGCGTCCCCTGTGCCAACCCACAGGCCTGGCTTCATCCAGGGTCACTAACATGTCTCTCCAGACTGCCACCATTTTCTTCTTTGTTGTTGTTAATTTTTATTTATGTTTACCTTTCTGTTTCCTCTTTACCAAAGCATTTGCATATTCCTGCTTAAAGCAGAGTCATACAGAAGGGGCTATAGTGAAAGCAATAGTCCTTTCCTCCCCCCTCAGCCATCCCGACCCCTGAGAGAGACACCCTTAACTCTCTTATACCATTTCCCCTGATAGTAATGTCACATCCCTTTTAAAAAAATGCTCATTTCACTGATTTCTACTCATTAATTTATTCATTTGTGTTGTCTTTTAAAAAATTCATTTGAGAGAGAAAAACATCAATTTGTTGTTCCACTCATTTATGCCTTCATGGGTTGATTCTTGTATGTGCCCTGACTGGGGATCGAACCTGCAACCTTGGCATATTGGTACAACGCTCTAACCCACTGAGTTAACCAGCCAGGGCTGTTATTGTCTTTTTTTATGATAGAGAAGAAATTGGCACACTTACCTCTGCAGCCCTCTACCTTCTCCTTCTGTGTGCAATTTATTTTTTCCCTGGGTTACTTTCATAAACTTAAATAATACTACTACAAGTTCCCTTCATGTTGCATTACGACAAGCAAAAGCTCATAACTCCCCAGCTCATCGGAGGAAAATATTAGTCCTGCCTTGTCCTGCAGGGCCCTTTTCTGTCCCTGCCACTTAGAAACTTCTGTCATTTGATTTGATTTTATATCATTGAAATGGACAGCATTTGCATTCTTTCTGGCAACCATAATTAAGTCTTACTTATCTGTATGCTGATTCTAAAACATTAAAATTGACAAATAGCATGGATGTTCCTATGAATGATTTTCTTTCACGGTAGAGCTGAGCCGTGGTCTGTGACTGTCTCTTTTCAGCCTTTTGTTTTTCCTGGAGTTTTCAGTTGCTTTTCTTTTTCAGTTGGACCGTTGGGTTTCATCATGCTCTGTCGGGCCCTCCACGGCAATGCCCCTTCCCCCAGACTGCTCTCTCCAGGTACCCACCACTGTCCTCCTTGACGCCATCCTGGGGCGTCCCTTCCTGCTCTCCACGTGGGGGCCAGTGCATCACCTTCTCCCTCCACTTCCACCCACTTTGGTCTGGAGCACACCCTCGAGGTGCTTTCCCAGAACATGACTGTGAGAAGTAAACTCTCTGAGTTCTTGAATATCTAAAAAAAAAATGTCTTTTTCTCACATTCGTTGAAAATCTTAGCTGTACTCGGATTTGTCCTCTGAAAACCATGGTCCCTCCAGTTTGGGGACATAGTCCCACTGCTTCTGGACCCCAGTGCTGCCGGTGGCAGACCTGGTATCCCTCTGATGCCTGCTCCCCTGGGGATCACGTGCTTTCTTATTCCCAAAAGCTTTTTGGGTGTTGAGATAATGTATCTACATGTGTTTTCCTTTGTCATCCCTGTCATTCAGAGACCCTCCCATGGAACTCCCGCTCAGCCACAGTTCTCTGTCACATGTCACATTATTGTACCTTGACCTCCAGACCCTGACATTCCCTCGGGGTCCACCTTCATGGGCATTTTAGGTCACTGATTCTTCCAACCAGCCTCAGCCCTTATAACTCTTCTCTCTGCTTCCTGTTTTCCAGAAAAGGAGCGAAGTCTAGCCCCTTTTCTGTTGTCCTTATCTGTGTGAAAATATACCTATGTTATGCCTTCATTCTCATTGCAGTTAGGTTTCTAGAGAGAGGAGACACAAATGAATTGAAGAAAATTACCAACTGAAGTTGGAAACCTCCCGTTTATCCTTAATGACCTTATTCAAAAAGTCATCTCTGCCTCATAGAAGCGAATAATCACCTGCCACCCCGCTAACCATAGCAAGCATTTCCATCAATTTTCCTTTGAGATTTCTTTTCTAGAAATGCATACTTGTTCTCTGTTTGCTTGTCTGCTTTTTAATAATTAAGCCACATCCCCCACAGCACAGACTATATCCATCGTCCTTTCCCCGCTGGTTTGGCATGTGACACTATCATAAAATATGAAATTATTACATAAGCTGTTCCATTCCTGTGTCAACTGTTGTGATTCCAGGCTGTTCACCTGCTTGCTGACCTACTGATTCTTGCATCAGTAAAAGTCTAGAGCCAAACTGTAGCATTAGCATCTTTTTATTCAAATCCCCTCTCAGCAGGGTTAGCAACTTTAAAAAAAAAAAAAAACTCGTTTTGGCCATTACTGTTCATTTCGCCTTTTAGATGAGCTTTAGAATTATTTTGTTGGTGGCTCTCTCTCAGAAAAGAAACTCCTTGCTCTTTGACTTATAAGTAAATCGCTCTCCTTAACGAGTCTTTAGTATTTATCGCATGTGAAGCCCATGTGCATAACACAAAGACACAGAAATGCATCAGGCAGATGCGGTTTCCGCCCCTTGAAACTTCAGTGTCACTAATTCCAACCTTGCAAACTGGTTATCGCTTTGAAAATGCTACCCCTCATCAAGCTTCTTACTCTAGGAACATTTGTATTCCCTTTTTTCTTTTTCTTTAAAAAGATTTTATTCATCTATCTTTAGAGGGGAAGGGAAGGAGAGAGGGAGAGAAATATCAGTGTATGGTTGCCTCTCCTGTGTCCCCTGCTGGGAACTGGCCTGCAACCCAGGCGTGTGCCCTGACTAGGAATCGAACCCCCATCTCTTAGTTCACAGGCCCGCACTCAATCCACTGAGCTACACCAGCTAGGGCCTGTATTTCCTTTTTTCTTAAGTGGCATCTTTCTCTTTCACCATTTGTGTTTCTGTTATGAATCTTCTCGTTACTCGGTGTGAATAATTATATGAAATACTCACCCAATGTTTCTTTTATCTGGTATCATTTTTATCATTTAATAGCAATTTTTAACATTTGCATTCAAATTCGTAATCACATTGAGAGTTGCTTGGGGCCCAAGAGGGAAGAGTCGATCTTGGAGATGATCTTCACACCCATTAAGCTTATAACTCTATGCCTTCAGCAGGCGGTATATTCAAGAAGACATGCTTTAGATGGGATTTCTCGTTAAAAATGCATTGAAGTGTTAAATGCCATTCAACCTGGAACAGCGGAGAAAGTTGACAGCAGCCAAAGTTTTGATCTTTTGTCGAAACTTATTACTGAGCTGTTTTCCTTAGAACTCGAGGGTCCCATCAGGACCTGTTTGGGCATCTCATTCATCTGCCTGGAATGTGGTCAGTGCCCTTCATCTGCATAGTGGCATTGTTCTGACCCCTGTGGGCATGTCTCCCTCCGTCCTTGCCACCCACCCTGGGTTTTCTCTGCCACCCACCCTGATTTTTCCACAAGAAGCCCCTACCTTCTCAGAGGTGACCCCTTGCCCCGGGTTCTGGGAGGGCTTCCCAAGTGGCCCCCCATTTCCCGAATCCGATTTCTCTCATGTTCAATCGTAGTTTCCTTGTGATCCCGCCCACCCTGTGTGAGTGACCTTGTGTTTCTGCCCCAGAGAGGACAGAGCCTAGAAGTCTCTGGTGTGTCCGGATGCTCCCAGCCAGGGTCCAGTCCCCAGTCAGCTAGAGGTCAAAGAGGGCAAAGGAGAGCAGAACTGAGCTTGACACAAGCGGGGCCCCCCTTTGGAGCCTGTGACTACCCCCCAGATGCACTCCAGCCACAGCCCTGGGGTCCAGAAGGCTGGGGGGCGTCCGTCTCGGGGCCCCGCGGTCCCCACCTAACTGCTCACCCTGTACGTGTGTGCATGAACAGGGAATACTACATCACCATGGTGAAGTGGGCCACCAGCACCAAGGTCGCCGTGAACTGGCTGAGCCGCGCACAGAACGTGTCCATCCTCACCCTCTGCGATGCCACCACGGGCGTCTGCACCAAGGTATGTGGGGGAGGAGGTCAGGGGGGCCGTGGGCTGGACCCCTGCGAGCAGACTGCTGAGCCCACCTGTCCGGGTGGCAGCCTGCCTGCAGGTGTGCGCTCCGCTGCCACCTGGTGGACGATGCAAGTACTGCTGTAAGCCCAGGGCTCGGCCCCTCAGTGCCTCCAGGTGGCGCGCGATCCCTTTGGGCCCCAAATTTTCGTTTTCCACCTGAGGAGCAAAAAAGATTTGTTATGACTTGGGAACCCCGACGCAGCCGCAGTCGGTCACTGTGCTGCCTAAGTAACTCGCAGTCTGCGATGTACCTGATTTGGGCACATAATTTAGAGCAGATCCAGGTTATTCCAAGGGGCTCACTGGTGGGGGAGGGGAGGAAAGGTGGGCACACAGCTGGGAAGCTGGGAAATCCCGGCAACCTCTGGCCTGGGCCCCCAATGTCATGCGCCACCCCAGGGGTGGGTCCACAGCACCTCGGGGTGCCCTCATTGTGCTGAGCAGCTGTTTCTTGGGGCTTAGGGGTTTGTTTTGTTTGATTCTCTATGATGCTCTATTCCGCATGGTTTTGTAAGATCTACTTTTTTATATATTTTATTTGTTTGTTTGTTAAGAGAGGGGAAGGGAGGGAGAAAGAGGGAGAGAAACATCCATGTGTGACCGCCTCTCACACACCCCCTACTGGGGGCCTGGCCTGCAACCCAGGTGTGTGCCCTGACTGGGAACTGGCAACCCTTTGGTTTGCAGCCTGAGCTCCATCCACTGAGCTACACTAACCAGGGCTACTTTTTATATATATATTTAAGTGGCTCTTAATGTTTTGGTCTGCAAGACTGTTACTCAAAGTGGTGAACTGGGAAGTGTACGGATGTCCACGCACACACGCACGCATGCGCACACAAATCCCTAAAACAGAGCAGCACCTGAGGTTTGCCTTTCAATGGGCATGTGCCCACCTGGTCAGCGATGGCCTTCGGATGGTAAAAGCACGCCATCTCCCAAAGGCTTCCTACCTGGCACTGATTGCCTTTGTTGCCGGGGAGAGTGACATTTTCCTTGCTCGGGACACCTGGGCTCCGCTCTGAGCCACACGGTGGGGCAAAGCAGAGAGCCGGGACCGCCTCCCCTGAGCGGCCACGGAGCTGCCGTGTGCGCTGAGGCTGCTGCCGTGTGGGGAAGCGACTCGTTTCTGCGCTGTGGGTCGCAGGCACTCGGCTCGCCCAAAGTCCCCCCTCTAATGCTCTTATTTCATTGCAGAAACACGAGGATGAAAGCGAGGCCTGGCTGCACAGACAGGTAACTATTCCATGTGCCAGTCCCCACCCTATTCATTGCACACACAGCACCACCACCACCACCCCTCCGCGAGAGGCACCTCGTGGGGGCGTTTCCCACAGAGAACAGCATCTCACAGCGAATCCTACGGACCGAGGAGGTGCACAGAGTGTGTGGCTCCGGTGCATAGGGTTGCCCAGCCACCGCCCTGCTCCCCACGTGGCCCTCGGCGCTCTGTGACGATGGCTTGAAAGTCCCAGCTCCTGGCCACACGAGGTGTTTGGTGAGTGCCGAGGCCTCAGGGAGATGCGGCCCCCGGGTGAGTTAGAAATGGCGTGTCCATCGAAGGTGCCCAGGTACAGCCTGCTACGGGAGAAGAAAATGAAAACGTGGCTGATACCTCTGTTTTCTCCACGGGGTTACATGGGGGACTCGTGTGCGGTGGATGCCACTTGGGTTCGGCACGAGCCGCCCTGGGGACCAGGCATCAAGCCCATTTCCAGCCCCGACTCAGCTAAGAGATGCCGCCTGGGAGGCCGGTGCTGGGAAATTGGAGGTTAGAAGTCAGGGCGGCCCTACAGTGACTCACTCCTGACCCAGAAAAGATTGAGTTTACACACAAAATAAAACCCTGAACACTGGCATCGTCTTTCTCCTTGCTCTTGCCACACCCGACCGTAGAAAGAACGGGTGCGGCGTTTTGGAAGCTTGCTTCCTTCTTTTCCCCCCTCGGGGGATGGAAACCATCTGAAGGTTCCGTGGGGAAAATCGCACCAGGTCTGAGTCTCCTGATCACGTGAGGCAGGCACAGGTGTGCTTCTCGGTCCGTGTGATGGGTCCCGTTTGTGGAATGTCCCCGGACCGGGCAGTGGGCCCGCCACTGTGGCTCTGTAAGGACAATCGAGCAGTGCTGACCGGTTTGTGCTTCTTTTATCTGGGAGTTTGAGATCCATCCCAGCCTTCCAGCTCTTCTCTTGGGGGTGATGGCCTCCGAAATGAACACTGTCACCTTTAAATATACCCAGTTCTGCTTCCCACCCACTTTACCCCAAAAAGGAATGGCCGCTGGGGCCTCTTTTGTTTTCCTGTATCCAAGTTTGAGGCCAAGTCCAAGCTAGGGGAAAAGAAGGAGCAAGGGTGGGAACCCTGAGATACCGGTGGGGGAATTATGCTGGGAGGGGGCTGGGATGTCCCCAGAGGCCACCTGGGCCAGGGACATCCAAGCACAGACAGTCACAGTGATGTATGTGATGGTGTTCCCTGTCCGTCAGCAACAAGGCCAAAGAGGTGGAAGGGAAGGACCAGAGAAAGGCCATTATCTGTACAGGCTTCCATTCAACTGCGGTGGATGGGTCGTGCCAGGCACGTGCCAGGCGCCGTGGGTATCGGAGGTGAGGCAGCTGCTGCCGCTGAGCATGGGTCATAGCCACGCGGCGGTAAAGAGCCTTCCACCCTCAGGATGCTCCGCACCTGCTTCTCTGGCTGGTGGTCGCTCCCACCACCTCACCACAGGAGCATTACACCGAGCAAAAGCAGCCAGATGCAGAAGCCCGCCCTGGAACGATCCCACGGAAATGCGCAGAATACACACAGCTGCAGCAACAGAAAGCCTGGAATGGCTCGCAACAGCTCAACTAGGCGATGGACACATTCGGGAGCCGGCTACCAGGTGGTGCAGTACATTCACAGCCAATGCGCTGCAACGCCACTGTTGTTAAAGTGTTTCATTTTGTGTCATGTGAATTTCACCTCAACTTAAAAAAAGAAATGAGCCAGCCAGGGCCCTGAGCAGTGTGGCTCGGGGGGTTGGAGCAACGTCCGTGCACCAAAAGGTCACAGGTTGTATCCCCCGTCAGGGCGTGTGCAGGAGGCAGCCAATCTCTCTCTCTTTCTCTCTCTCTCTCTCTCTCTCGCTCTGTCTTTCAAATTAGTGACAACATATCCTTGTGTGAGGATGTAAAAAGTAAAATAAATGAACCAGCTACAGCCTTGGCTCTCTAAACGTGGCAGCGTACAAAGGGAGGAGAAAGACGCACACATATTTCTCAGTGCGAATCACCTTAACATATGTTTCGGAAACTTCAGCTTTGAGTTCCTGGTGGGCAGGGACCAGGGAGAGCAGAGTGGGACCCGGCCCCCCATGGCATGTGTGCAGAATTTGTGCCTGCGAGGAGGCAGTGGGGGACGGACTTGCCAATGCACCTGAAAGTTTTGCTGGGAGGTGGTGGCTGCTGGAAGGCCAGGTCACAGGGTCCCTGCTTCCCTGTCTGGCACTCCCACCGGCCAGCATCCCGGGGGTCATCACAGGTTGGGACCCATGGAGCTGCCCCGTTGCTCACCCCCATGTTGGCTCTGCAGAGGGGCTACAAAGACCCAGCCACCACGACACTGTTCTGCGTTCATCCGCCTGTGTTCCTCGTCTGTGTGGGAGCACCCACACAGGGAGCCCAGGTGTGATTTGAGAAGCTGGACTGTTCCACACAAAATCAAGCCAGCCCTTAAAAGGAAGCAGGAAGTAGAATCGTTACAGTCTTAAAATGTGGACTTTAAAGCCTGTATAAAGCAAACAGCTGCGGAAAGCCGAGCTGTGCCGTCGCGGGGATGAGACAGAAAGTCCTCTGAAGGATCCCTGTTCCAGCGGGGTGGTGCTTTCATGGAATCAGTTTCACGGCATCGAAACATCCAGTTTCCATGATTTCTCATGACGTTCCTTTCAAAGACACTTTTCATAAATGAATCCACAGGTGCTCTTTTTCAAAATTAATCTGTAGTTTTCCACATCCTTCAAGACACTGGGAGGTCCTAGAAGGCGAATTACAAAACTGATTTGTGGTTGGACCTGCCATCTGCTGCCAGTGAGGCTGCTGACCACCAGCCATCACAAAGGCATCCCAGATGCTCAGCCCCACCGGCCCAGGCACAGTGCCATTTGAGGAGAAGACTGGAGTCTGGGACATGGTACCAACATCCCAGAGACCCGTCTGCTCAGATCACCTGTCAGCTGGTTACTCATCCCCAGGGACACAGTGAGTTAGAGCATCCCTGGCCGTCCAGCGGGACTTCCGTCTCCTCCATTTTCCTCCAATCTCTGCCCAGAGGCAGTGGGACCCCCACAGAGATTCCCAAGGGCCAACAAGAAGAGGCAAAGGTGAACAACATACACGCCCCATCGCCACTGCCTGTGACCTTCAGAGCAGGTCCTGATGCAGATTCACCGTCACCCTGCACCAGGCCCATCTCGCGTCTGCTGGAGATTCAGTCCTGTCGGTCCATTTCTGACCATCTTTCTCTAATGGGGATTCCGGTTTTGTGATTTCACAATCTGGCCAAGACGAATGTGGCAGGAAGTCCTCCAATCACTCACAAAGCATCTCACTGAGAAAAGGAAGTCATTTTGCACCGATGTGCTAAGAATAGAGGGTAAGAGACCGGGTGTCATGCATGATCAACCATCTGTGACCCAGAGATACGAGAAAGGCTTCTCCCCAAGTCCATTAGTCGGGACCAGAGTTAACAGCCAGGTTTCCGCCCCAGCCGGGTGGCTCCGCAGGTTGGAGCGTCGCACCTGCACACTGAAAGGTTACGGGTGTGAGCCGCAGTCAGGGAGCCTGCGAGAGGCAACCAATCGATGTTTCTCTGTCATATCAATGTTTTTTCTCTCTCCCTTCCTGTCTCACTAAAAAGCAATGAAGAGTCCCAACTGGTGTGGCTCAGTGGATTGAGCACTGGCCTGTGAACCAAAGGGTCGCCAGTTCGATTCCCAGTCAGGGCACAGGCCTGGGTTGCGGGCCAGGTCCCCAGTAGGGGGCGCTCAAGAGGCAACCACACATTGATGTTCTCTCCCTCTCTTCCCACCTCCCTTTCCCCTCTCTCTAAAAATAAATAAATAAACATTTTAAATAATTTTTTTAGAAAGCAATGAAGACATGTCCTCAGATGAGGACAAAACAACATTTGGGTCTGCCACTTTCTCACTAAAATCCATTTACTGCCCGAGAAACCGAGCCGCAGGGGAGCCTCAGGGCTGGCCTTTCTCCCGCCCGCCACGGAACGTTCCAGGGATTAGCGTAAAGATGCCGTTCCCACAACCCACGCCTTCTCGGTCTAAAACACAACGCTTCTGGCCAGAATTAATTCTTTCTGCCATTTATCCAGAGTATTTTTTTTTTCTCTGCCGAAAGTGCCAACCCTTCCCCAGAAAGCCGGGGGCACCGTGGGGGTCTCCGCCCTGCATTCGGCAAATAGAAGCACAAGGAGTAAAGCCAGTTCCCTGCCGGCATCTCATCTCCTCTGCTTGGAAATGCTGCGCTTCCCACTCTAAATGGGGAAATAAATATTTGCAGATTAAAGGTTTCATTTCATTGCAAATGTTCCTGGAGATTAAATGCCATTTTAATCACGATGGTTTATTTCTCTGGGCACGTCACATTTGCATGTGCTCATCCCGCGGTGGGGAGATGAGGCCCCGCGTGCCAGCTGGGGCCCATGTCCCACCCCTGTTCCTCAGTGAGCGTGGCTCCTTGAATCAGAAAATGTGCATCGCGGCCGACTAATTGGTGTTCGTGGTGGAAACTTTCAAACTGGAGCTTGGAGAGGCTGAGATGATGCTGTGCCAAAACCTCTTTGTGCCTCATCAAGGTGACAGCCCCTCACAGGGGGCTGAGCAGCGACTGCTCAGATTGGGGGGGGGCAGGCAGAAACAGTGGCCACTGGCTGCGAATCCAGCCTGGGCTTCCCTCCCTCAGGGAAAGCTGGGGGTGTTCATGTTGTTCTCATCGACTTTCCTCCAGTTTGAGACGTGCCTCAGCACAGTGAGGTCCTGGGGGGAGGCCCCCCCGAAGGCCTAGAGCCGGATGCATCGTATCCTTACGATGGATCCCATGTGTCCATGTTTGCTGACCCTTGTTCTCCTCTCCTGGGTGGGCTAAAAACGACAGACAGCAAGGACAGAATAAAATTTATTTTCAGGCAGAATCAGGTTTGGCATTGTTCAGAATTCTGTTCTTTAGGATGGATCATTAGTGCCCCTAAGGAAATTCTGCAAAATGCCCTGGTTTCCACAGACCCTGGTGCAAGGGGGCTGAGCTGCCCCCCAGGGCTGCCTGAGCACCGGGCTCTGCGGGGTGACACCCAGGTCTGCTGGGTAGGGGCACCTCGTGTGTCCCCTGTCAAGTCTTCACCGTTCCCTTTGCCTTACGAAACCGAAGCCTGGACTCCCAGCTCCGCAGCGGAAAGGCTCCGATTAGAAACCATGCAGAACAAGCCCCTGCAGACGCGTCTGTCCTCGCTCGGCCCCTTGAAAGCAAACGAAGCCCTCGCCCCGTCTCACCGGCTTGATGTCGCCCGCAGAACGAAGAGCCGCTGTTCTCCGGGGACGGGCGCAAGTTCTTCTTCGTGAGAGCGATCCCGCAGGGCGGGCAGGGCAAGTTCTACCACATCGCCGTGTCGTCCTCTCAGGTGAGTGCCCGGGACCGGTGTGCCAGCTCGGGGACCGCCCCCGGTGGTGACCGCCAGAGCACGCTTGTCCCCTTCCGAGTCCCCAAGGCGAATCCAGGGCACTGAGACTGGAAGGCGCAGGACAGGCGCTGGTCCAGGTGAGGGGTTCCAATGGCGTCGCGGGTCACGCTGTGTCTTTTATTGTCCCCAAATACAAGTGACACTTATGACAGTATCTGAGGGGACCCTGGTGTCCATTAGGCATGAGCCCGAGGACGTGTGTCCACTACTTGTTTTGACGGTCCTGCCCCTGTCAGCCTTCCCTCTCCACTTGCAGGGTGTCCCCTACACTCTGTCCTGGAGGCCGGGGGTCCCGAGCACAATGGTCCCCATGGTACAGCCTCCCAAGCTGCCCCACCTCACGTTCAGCCAAACTCAGGCATTTGTCTGTCACGCTGCCGCTGGTGGCGGTCACTGCCCTGAATCTGGGGTCTGGTTCACAGAAGGGCAGCACTCGTCTGAGTGGACAGTCTAGGACAGCCGGGGGACTGTGTCCCTGGCAGTGTGGCTCCCCCGGGAGCCTGCCCACCTCTTCGAGGGCAGTCCCTGGAGCTGAACCTTCAGGAGCTCAGTCCTCGGGAGAAGGGGGGGGGGCGGCATTTTCAGGAACCTCATCCTGCGTGTGTTTCCCATTCGTGAGAGGCTAAGTTATAGGGGACCGGGGCAGGCAAGTAAAAGTTGATTTAAAATAAGGTTCCCAGAGCCCCAGCCAGGCGGTTCAGTTGGCTGGACCATCATCCTGTGCACCAAAACGGCCATGGGTTCAAGTCCAGGTCAGGGCACGTACCCACAGGTTGCACGTGTGTGGGGGAGGCAGCCAATCAGTGTTTCTCATCCATAAAGATACGCTCAGGTGAAGATTTTTTTAAATAAATAATGTTACCAGAAATAATCTCTGGCTGGAGAGTAGAATGCTCATGTTTATGATAAGCCCCAAAAGGCAGGGTCGAAAGCCAGATTCCAAGCATGTCCCCAAAAGAACAGCGCGCACTGAGCAGGAGGGACCGGCGGTGACTCTGTGACAGGGGCCGGTTTTCTCAAAGGCTGAGTGAGGTTCAGGTGTCTCTGTGTCCAGCCCACTTAATCGCGTGTCCCAGGGGGTCCGCAGACTGGCCAACGTCCATCTGGTTATAACTGGGGGCGTCATTCTGAAGCCGCGATTCCCATGTTTTCTCCGCATGGGTTACTTTCGTCAAGATCCAAACATGTTTCAAGGTCTCCACTGAGCCCCAGACTCGGGGTTTCTCCACGTGGCCAGCACAGGCCGGGGACCCTTCCAAACATCCCAGCGGGAAGTGGGCCACCCGGGCACCCAGGGGCTCCGGGGCCCCGCGCTCCGCCCCTCACGCCGGCCTGTCTGTTGCAGCCCAACAGCAGCAACGACAACATCCAGTCCATCACCTCCGGGGACTGGGACGTGACCGCCATCCTGTCCTACGATGAGAAGCGCAATAAGATGTGAGTGCGCGTGCGCGGGGTGGCGGGGCAGGAGGCGGCCGGCGCGGGGAGCCGGGGCCGCATTCGGGGGGGTCCTCAAGCCTCTGGGAGCCCGCACCCCACTGAGTGCCTTCTGAGTAGCCTCTCACCGCACACGACGTTGGGTGAGGCGGGCCTCTTGCCCCCCCACCCCCTGCCCCCACTTCCAAACTCAACAGGCCAAGACGAGAAGTGATTTCCCCCAGGTGTTTGGGCCGTAGCAGGTGCGGCGGGCGTGCTTCTGCGCCGGTCCAGGCCCACGTGGTCTTCATCCGCCCTGATGAGGGCACGGGGCCGGCTCTCCCCGCTGGGGCTCCGAAGGGGAACGGTCGATGGGAGTTACTCAGCCAGGGCTTCCGTCCGGGGTCCTTCTCCTCCGGAAGGCTGACACCCTGTAGAGAGATTCCCGCACCCGAACCCCGGGGCACCCGACCGCCACCGTCCGCACCCCTACAGCAGAGCGAGGGCAGGTGTGGGGACACGGCCCTGGCAGGAGCACAGGACGGGCGGCCTGGGCTGGCAGCCCCGCGCCTACCCAGGTCTGCTAACGCCTGCACGCCTGCCGGTCTCTGCAGCTACTTCCTCAGCACGGAGGACCTGCCCCGGAGACGACATCTCTACAGGTACGGGGACCCCCCCCCCGAACGTGCAGTGGCCCCCGGGCTCACTGGGCATCCCTCGGGGCAGACTTCCAGCCGCAGGTCCTGGGGGGTCAGCCAGGAAAGCTCCCCCTGCTGAGCAGCTACGGAGTCCAGGGAGAAATAACAAAAGGCCCTCGGACCCCCCAGTTTGAAGCTTCGTTTGTATTTCTGCTTTTGGCAAACCGAGTTCCCCCCACCCCACGCCACCCAGTCCCTCCTCCCAGTGCCACCTGGAGGGACTCCAGTGTTCCTCCCGCTCTACCGTCAGTCAAATGCCCACTGGGAGGGACCTTCTCCCCTGGTGTCCCAGGGGGACAGCCTGCGCTGGGGGCAGGAGGCCAGCTCTGCTGTCCCCACGGCACGGCTGGCTCACTGTGTGGCGCTCGGTCAAGTCCTGTGACCTAAAGAAAGCGGCAGAGGGGGCAGGGAAGAGGGATGAGGTTTCCCAGGGCCTGGCCCTGTCCAGCACAGACCCTCTCGGCCACCCGGTCACCATCCCAACTGGAGCGTCTGGCTCTGAAGTGAGGCACACAGGTGGGAATGGGCACTCGGTGACCTCCCAGGGCTTCCCCGGCCTGCAGGTGGCAGCGGGTCACCGCCAGCGCTCACCTCGGCCACTCAGAAGGCCATTGCTCCTAAGGGCTAGAGGCGGGTGGCTCCTAGCCTGGCCGAGCCAAGGCCAGGTGTCCCCTCTCCCAGGCAGTGACCATGCCCCTGCCATCCTCCGGGCCATCACAGGGTTGCTTGTGCACGGGGGGCACCTGGCAGACCCGAGGGGTCACGGCCTTGCCCCCCGCGGCAGACTGTCCATCAGGCATGTGTGTCAGATAACTCAGAGCGGTCTGCTGTCAACGGTGATCCCCACACACGGCCGCTGTCCCTCTGACTGGCACCCTTGGGAGGGCGTCCTCTCTCTCCCTGAAGCAGCTCTGCTCTCGTGGACGGGTTTCCAGCTGGGGGCTCACAGAGAGCACACAGGAGCCTGCTCCGGGCGCACTGCGGGCTGCCCTCAGGTTCCAGGGACACATGTCCAGCCTTTTGGACGTGAAATCACTGGACGCAGTGGTCCCACAGGTCCCGGTGTTCGGGGCCCACTGAGCGGGGAGCCAGGCCTCGTGCCACTGGCCCGGGAAGCAGCCGGCGCTCAGCACGGCGGGGTCTCTGGGCTTCCTGCCCGTCACCTGCCAGTGCCAGGCCCTGGGAGGGATTCCCACATCCGGGGACATCTGCCCTCAAGAGCCAATCGCGTGCTCAGAGGGACAGATGTGAACACCAAGTGGTAGATAGTGACACCAAGCACTACTGTCCCCACGTTGGAGTCATGCTTGGGCGGCATAATAGTGCAGGGGACGGAGGAGACAGCTCACAGAGGGACCGTTGGGAGGCCCCTGCCCACCACGGGGAGGGCAGGGACCCGGGGACACCTGGGTGGGAATGTGGATGCTGCCCCGCAGGCTCACACGGCCGCCTCCGCCCCCGCAGCGCCAGCACGGTGGGCCCCTTCAACAGGCAGTGCCTGTCCTGCGACCTGGTGGGCGACTGCACCTACTTCAGCGCCTCCTTCAGCCACAGCGCCGACTTCTTCCTGCTCAAGTGTGAAGGTGGGTCCCCGCCGAGGCCGGAGGCGGGGTGGGGGGAGGGTGTCTGACGTGTGGTGAGGGTTACAGACGGCCCTACCCCTGCTGCGGCCATGAATCCCAGATCCGTCTACATTTTCTGTTTAAAAAATCTCCTGTAAGCTCACTGGGGTGAAGGTCTCTCACACACTGATGGACATACACCATCGATACAGGCAGCAGAACAATTTCAAGGATTGACTTCTGCAGCGCAGTTAAGGAATAAGGTTATGAAAGGGAGGTCTCAGCCCTGGCCAGCGTGGCTCAGTGGGTCGGAGCGTTGTCTCGTGCACCAGAAGGTTGCGGGTTCAGTCCCCGGCTGGGGGGTGTGTAGGCGACAACGGACCGATGTTCCTCTCTCTCTTTCTCTCTCTCTCCCCCTCCCTCCCCACCCCTTTCCTCTCTCTCTAAAACCAGTGAGCATACCCTCGGGTGAGGGGTTTTTTTAAAAATCAGACACAGTTCCTGCCTTCAGGGACCCCTGTTAGTGGCTTGGGGAGGACGCTTCACAGAAATGTCACTTCATGGGGTCAGAGCCTGTAGGAAGATTGGGGGGAGCTGGGAGCACCAGGAGGGACGCTCCAGTCACCCACCAGGCACTTGGCCAGAGCCGACGACACACTTTGAATAAGACATCGTCTTTGACTCGGGGTCACAGACACGAGGCGAGACTGTGCCGGACACGAGCTCACAGATTCAGGGCCCGGGAGCCGACCTGAAAGTCCCGCCGTCCCCTCCTCCCTTCCCACTCACGGAGCCCACCCCCCAGGGGCCAACGGGAGGCCTGAGGCACCAGCTGTGCCCCGGGCACGTGGCTGGTCGGGGGCCTAAATAGGTATTTTCGCGGTTCCTGCACAAACCGCAGGTGCCTGTGAACTCGGCTTTTGCTCTCTCTGCGCAGCAGGGAAGCAGGTGCGTTTATTGATTGTTTTCCATTAAAGGTCCCTCCTTTAAACCCAGGTGAATCAGGCACTGGCGGAGCCTGAGACACAAGAGGGCATGGCGCCCCCTGCAGGTCTGCCCCTCTACCCCGGGCTGCTGTGGGGTCCGCAGCTACCTGGGACTTCCCAGTGCCCCCTCCCAAGTCCACACCACCACTGCCCACCAGACTGCCCCAGGGCCACAGGGGACTGGAGCGTGCAGCTCTAGAAGTGACGCCCAGTGTTTGCCAGACACGGGGCGAGCGCCGGGCGTGCAGACAGGCCCTGCCCTCAAGGAGCCCCAAGTCTGGTCAAGTCAGCAGCACCACGACACCAGCCCAGGGGACCCTCACAAGCAGGGGGCTGGCATTGGCTTGGCGATGCGGGGGCTATCTCACCCACGCAGCGGGTGCCGACCGTCGGGGGAGTGAAGGCCACAGGTCCCGTGCTCCAGCAGCTTCCTCTCAAGGGCACAGACAGCCACCGGAGAGCAGGGGGCAGGCAAGGGAGTGTCCGGTCACTGGTCCCCAAGGGACAGAAGAAGGGCAGATGGTCCTTACCGACCAGGGGGCCACCTGGACCCCAGGTGCCTCATCAATAAAACCACGTGACAACAGCCTGCCGTGGAGAATTGTCATCCAGACCGAATTGTTTATCACGTTGGTGAAGTGGTGACGAGGTCAGCCACTGGTTCACAGTGATGTGGCTGCTACTGTTCGTGCTGATGGTCGCGGTGGCGGCGACGATGATGCTGGTGGTGTTGATCGTGATTCTATTGTCGATGATGGTAGTTATGTTATTGTTGATAATGTTCTGGGTGATGATGTTGCTATGGTGATGATATTGCTGATGATGATGGTGTTGGTACTGATGAGGATGACGTTCTTGTCGATGATGGTGGTGATGACGATGGTGCTGTTGCTGCCGTTCCCCTGGTTCTGACTCAGTATCTCAGAGGCGGGGCCCTCAGTCCTTCCTGCCTGTTCTCTGTAGTGGGAGAAATTTCACCTCTTGTTTCTGAGGACTAGAAAAGTGAATGTACCCAGTGGTCAGTTAACGGCCCCTAAGTGTCCATTCTGTGCAAAAATTAGGCCAAAACGACCGTACTTTACCATGGAGCACGTCTGTGGACAGGAGACTTTTATTCACTTCTGGGTACAAGGAGGAGCCGGCCTTCGTGGCCGGCCGGGGTGGACGTGGAGCGTGTGGGCCCGACCCGGACCGTCCTGGACGGTGGGGAAGGCCTGCTGGGGCGGAGCACGTCACCATGCGGAGGAGAGACGGAGTCTGTCCTGACTCACAGCCGAGACAGAGGTCACCGCCGTGCCCACCAGCAACAAGAGGATGGATCTTGCTTACCTGGGACCCTTTTCCCAGGTTGCGCAGACACCCTGCCCCCCTAGGTCCTAAGCATGTGTCCCCCTAGGTTTCCCAGCTGCCGCTGAGAAACACTTACATTGTTAATTATTGTGAACAGCAGTGCCCATCTATTTTTCCCCGGCAATGGCCAAGAAGTGCAAAGAACGTCAGCTTCCTTCGGTCCTAGCAAAGGACACCATTGTCCACATCGAACACATGCGGAGACCACAGCTCAGACATCGGGGTCCCGTGGTGGTGAGGGGGCGATTCCAGACGAGACGTCCACACTCTCGACTGCCTCCTGCCCCGCTGCCCCTTTGGTATCCTGACACATGGTACTCACAAGGGACGCTCAATGGATTCGTTGCAGAAACAAATTGGATGGAATGGTTACGATACGTTCCTCTAATGGAATATTATACATCTGGTGAAAAAGATGGGCCACTTTTTAAAAAAGATTTTATTTATTTACTTTTAGAGAGAGGGGATGGGAAGGAGGAAGAGAGGGAGAAAAACACCAATGTGTGGTTGCCTCTCACATGCCCCTTACTGGGGACCTGGCGTGCAACCCAGGCATGTGCCCTGACCAGGAATCAAACCAGTGACCCTTTGGTCCTAAGGGCAGTGCTCAATCCACTGAGGCACACCAGGCAGGGCTGATGTTGTACCACTTTTTCGAATTGTGTCCGTGGTGGTGTATTACAGCACTCACCATTCTGCAATAAGTCGCGTGCATGCAACGTTACAATGTTTCTATTTGCCCCTCTCAGGAAGTATGCGGCTACTAACTCATGAGACTGGGATACAAAGTGTTTGGCATTGGGATACACTAGAGGCTCTGGTGGGCCCAAGCCTGCAGGAGCCAAGCCGGGCTGCTGAGGACGTGACACACAGACGTCACGCACTCATGGGGTGGCCAGGAGTCGGAGCCAACCCCACCGTGCATCACACACATAGTACAACATGGGTGGCATATATATTGTTAGGAATGCATGCCATGTGGCAAAACTGTCTTAAATACACAGGGGTCCTGGCTGGGCTGCTCAGTGGGTTGGAGCGTTGTTGCATGCACCAGAAGGGTGTGGGTTCGGTCCCCAGTCAGGGCACAGGCCTGGGCTGCAGAATCAGTCCCCAGTCGGGGCATGTACAGGAGGCAACCAATCCATGCTTCTCTCTCTCTCTCCTGCTCCTTCCTTCCCTCCCCTTCCTCTCTCTTTAAAATCAATAAACACATATCCTCGGGTGAGGAGTAGAAAAAATTTAAATACGCAGGGAAGTGATACATACTGTACCAACTTCAAGATAACAGCTACGTCTGGGAAGGGCGCCAGCTGAGCACCCGGAAGGGTAACAGGTCACCTCGAATCTGTGTATGAATATGAAAGCGAACTAAGGCATCGTGGCGTAACGTTAGATTTGATGAAGCTGCTGATGTACATGCAGGTATTTTTCTGGTTTTATCTGTACGTTTCCAATCCTGGCTTCCCTGTGAAGGTGGTGCAGATGCACAGCGGCCTTTCAGGACGTTCGAGGAAGACTTAGGTTGCTTCTGGCAGGTAGAGGCTAAGGCATCTTCTACTGACACTTTGTCCCTTTTCTGAGCGTTCGATTTGTCTAGAAGCGTGTACCAAGTTCGTGAATGTAAGAGTGAGAAGGGACAAATCCAGGCGCCGCGCTTTCTTACGGTGCAGACAAGACAAATGTCTGAAAACATTCCCCTCTCTCTGTACAGTGGGGTGGGCAACACCCCCTTTGAGCTGCCGTGCATGCTGGACACCAATGGTTCGAACCGGCCAGCAGGCACCCCAAAAATGACCACCATTGACATTATTATTTGCAGCAAAGGTGCTCTGCCAGCAAGTTCACCCGCCCAAAATGAGCCGAGAAAGCATGGGCGGCTCTTGCTTTCTCAACAGCTTATCTGTTCTTTGACTTGAGCACCTCCCCCCTTCAACCCCCACCTACCCATGTGGGGAAGGGGGTCCCCAAGCCAGGAAAGGTAGTTGGATTTAATCATTTGCCCCCAGAGCTGGCATCGAAATTTGTCACAGTGAGTGCCGTCTGTTTTGGTCTGAATCTGCAGACCCTCAGACCTCCGCGGCCCGCCTCCCCCGCAGTGGTGGTCACCTGGGTGAGCAGTGAGCCTGCAGAACGCCCGGTTCCATTTGGTTCCGGAGAAATGACAAATAGCTTTTTGGCAGTAAGTCCCAGGTGCTGCATGGGTCATAGTTACACTAAAAATATATGTTGTTTATCTGAAATTCAAGTGTAGCTGGTGTCTTGCAGCCCTACCCACGAGTGGATGGGGAGGGGAGCGTGGTGTTCAGGGACCTCCGGATCCTGAGCATCCCCCTGATGGAGTCTGGGTCCAGTCCCCGGGCTACAGGGCTGCGAGGTCTGACTCCCAGCTCACCCAGGGCCCGGGGGACCAGCCCAGTCCTGCCTCCCGGTAAAGCTGCAGACTCCTCTTCTGCTCATCAGCCTCTTCGGGCCCGGGGCTGGGCGTCCGGTCCGCAGCCTTCTCGCGGGTCTGGAAGCCCATCGCTGGGGTGGGGTCCACAGCTGGGACCCTGGCCCCTGGCTCAGTCCCTTATTGTACAGCATCTGGAGGGGGTGAGAAGCTCTGATGACGGTCTCGGGAGGCTGAGCCCCAGCCGTGCCTCTGCCCAAATTGTATGCGCCCTGCGGCTTAGATGCAGCCGACCCCTGTGCGTTCATAGCTTCCCAGAGTCCACAACCTGCAGCAGAGAACAAGCAGCACTCCTGACCGGTGTCCCCAGCAGCTCTGTCTCCTTCTGTCCACCTGCCACCCATCTGCCTCCCACCTGCCACCCACCTGCCACCAACCTGCCACTCTTCTGCCTCCCACCTGCCACCCACCTGCCACCCACCTGCCACTCATCTGCCTCCCACCTGCCTCCCACCTGCCACTTCCTCTCTCTCCAGACAGTCTCCCAAGCCCACCAGGACCCTGAGAGGCAGCCACCTGCCCCCCGCCCACTGCACGCTGTGAATGTTGTCAAACGCCACCGGGGCCCCGACCCTGGTCCAGAGGCCGGGAGTCATGGTGGTGAGGCAGCGTCCCAGAGTCTGCCCCCCGTGCCCCTCGGGCTGGTGCTCAGCTCAGCAGAACAGACGAATAGCAAGTGTGCTGGGAACTCACGCTGCACGGCGCTGACATGACAGTGCCTGTCAGGGCCCCTACGGGGAGGGGGGCAGGGAGGGGCCGTGCCCTCCTGCAGGGCACTCTTCTAGGTGGGCGTCTGGAGGAGGCGTGTGAACAGGGACTTCATTGAAGAGAAAGACAAGCCCTGCCTTTGCCTGGGACAGAGATTTTGGGAGAAGAGAAGAGGCCCGGGGGACAAGCTGGGTGTCCTTCGGGACATTCAGAAAGGCCGGCTCGCTGGGGCAGGGCGGAGCCGGGGAGGGAGGGGCAGAGGTGACGAGGTCCCAGCCTGCCTCTTCCTGTGCTTTCAAAGTGATACGAAGATGACCCGATGCCCTTTTTCTTTCCGGGATCCCCATGGACTGAAGTGACTGAAGGAGTGACCGTGGACTAAAGCGACGAGGCCCCTTCTTCCTGGGCAGCCCCTTCCCTCACCCTCCCCGGGCTGTCAACTCAGTGGCCGCGGCAGTGCCCGCAGGGAAAGCTGGGACACAGTTCAGCATTTGCAAAGTCCTCTTGTCACTGTTCATCTGTTCTCACCGAGTGTCACAAGGGGTCAGCGAAGGGAGTGACTCCTTCTGGGGCAGCCGACTGGGACAGCGTGGAAAGGGTGACGGTGGACGGAGACCGGAGTGACTCCCAGAACTCGGTGACGCCAGCTCGGGGCTGGTGTCCAGGTGGCAGAAATGAAGTTACCAGGACATAGGGCAGACGATACTTCGTTCAGGGACATCTCGCCGCATTTCAGTAATCTAAAGCATACACATCGCCCTGGCCGGGTGCCCCCTGGGTTGGAGCATCGCCCCGCAAACCAGAAGGTCTCAGGTTCGATCCCCAGTCAGAGCACAGGCCTGGGTTGCGGGTTTGGTCCCCAGTTGGGGTGCGTAACAAGAGGCAAATGATTGATGTTTCCCTCTCTCTCTCTGAAGTCAATAAGCATTTTCGATGAGGACTAAAAATAAGTAAATCCCACCCCTCAGGTCCCAAGTTCACAGACGTGTGAGTCGGAGCCAGGCTGGGGTTCACCTTGTGCCCTCAGACCCACTAACAGCCTCTTGTTTCTTTCCCGGCTTCTCCTCTCGGCCGACGATGCAGGTCCTGGAGTCCCCATGGTGACCGTGCACAACACCACCGACCAGAAAAGTAAGTCCTCTCGGTCTTTCTTTGTCTCCGTGTGACTCGGGGGAAGGAAGCAGAGCAGGGCTAAGAGACAGCCGAGCCGCAGTGTCCACTCAGGGACAGGGACGGGCGGGTCCTTGGGGTTCAGAGTGCACCCGCCGCCAGTACTGCTGAAACACGATGGGAGGAAGAGCCCGAGCCCCAGCCGGAGGTCCCACCCCCCACCCGGCCAAGGGGCCTCGTAGGCGACACTCTGGGCCCCAGCCCTGCTCAGCCTGTCCCCCTCTTACGACCTGCCATGGGGACAGAGCTCGGTGGCACCTCAAGGTTCACCTGTCCTCGTGGGTCCAGGGCACCTTCACGCCCACGCTGCTGCGGGGACACACTCTCCGGGGACCCCCAAGGAACCCACAGCTCCTTCTTTTGCTTGAAGGGACCCCACAGGCTGACATGAGACGTCTTTTCATTTTCTTTTTTTTTTTAAATTTATTTTATTGATTATGCCATTACAGTTGTTCTATTCCCCCCTTCATTCCCCTCCACTCTACCTCCCCGTCCCCATTACCCCCCCTTTAGTTTATGACCATGTGTCTCAAGTCCTTAAGATTCTATATTTCCCATACTATTCTTGCCCCCACATCTATTTTCTATCTACTGTCTATGCTACTTATTCTCTGTACCTTCTCCCCCCTTCTCCTCCTCCCACTCCCCTGTTGCTAACCCTCCTTGAGATCTTCATTTCTATGTTTCCACTTCTGATCTAGCTGTCCTTTTAGTTTGCTTTTGTTTTAGGTGTGGTTGTTAATAACTGTGAGTTTGTTGTCCTTTCGCTGTTCATGTTTTTTTAACTTCTTTTTGTTAGATAAGTCCCTTTAACATTTCATATAATAAGGGCTTGGTGATGATGAACTCCTTGAATTTGATCTTATCTGAGAAGCACTTTATCTGCCCTTCCATTCTAAATGAAAGTTTTGCTGGATAGAACAATCTTGGTTGTAGGTCTTTGGATTTCATGACTTGGAATACCTCTTTCCAGCCCCTTCTTGCCTGTAAAGTCTCTTTTGAGAAATCTGCTGACAGTCTGATGGGGACTCCTTTGTAGGTGACTGTCCCCTTAGCTCTTGCTGCTTCTAGGATTCTCTCCTTCATTTTAATCTTGGCTAATGTAATTACGATGTGCCTTGGTGTGTTCCTTCTTGGGTCCAACTTCTTGGGGACTCTCTGAGCTTCCTGGATTTCCTGGAAGTCTATTTCCTTTGCCAGATTGGGGAAATTCTCCTTTATTATTTGTTCAAATAAGTTTTCCACTGGTGGCTGTGCCTTTCCCCCTTCTGGTACCCCTATAATTCGGATGTTGGAGCGTTTAAAGATGTCCTGGAGATTCCCAAGACTCTCCTCATTTCTTTGAATTCTTGCTTCTTGACTCTTTTCTGTTTGGCCATTATTTGCTTTCTTCTGGTCCACTCCATTGATTTGAGTCCCAGTTTCCTTTTCATTGTTATTGGTGTCCTGTGCAATTCCATTCATTTCAATTAGTTTCGCCTTCATATATTTGTCTAATTTGTGGCTATAATCAACCAGTTCTGTGAGGATCCTGATCACCAGTGTTTTAAATTGTGCATCTGAGAGTTTTGCTATTTCTTCATTGCTTAGATCTATAAGGCTCTGGGGCTTTGAGATCTTCTTGCACCATTTTTGGTCTGTTCGCGCCCTTTATGTGTGAGAAGCGGCGCCTTGGACTCCCAGGTCGCTGGGTTGTGACGCTGTATGTGGAGGTGGGGTCAGAGCGGGGGTAAATGCTGGCGCCCTCTGCTGCCGCTTGCCGCAGGGACCGGCTGGGTCCCAGTCCAATCGCCCACTCCCTCACTTGTGTATTCGCGCAGAAATGCGCGACCACAGTCAACCCGCAGCCCTGCTCCCTCGCTATTTCCCTGCAGTCGCTCGCTTTGTTGCTCGCTGGGTCGCTCACTAGGTCCAACCCTGCGCCTGGATTCCGCGCACCCGAGTCCATCTGACCAAGTTTTCCTGTGCTACCCCGCTCTGCCAGCTGCTGGTTTCGCCCCTCCTACCGGTCAGGCTGAAGAATTTGTTGTTAACAGACTTCCGAAAAGTTCAATTTTCCGTGTTCTGGCTGTTTTCTGTTGCTAATATTTAGTTATCTCTAAACTTGGTTGTGTGAGAAGGCACAGCATCTCCACCTATGCCTCCATCTTGGCGGAAGTCGTCTTTTCATTTTCTTAAGAAATGCACCTTGTCTTCCATTTTGAGTTTGTGCTAAAACCTACAGGTACATAGCTTGTTTCCTGATTGTTTTCTTTCCAAAAACTCTGTGGGCCGCGGGCAGCTCAACAGGAGCTGGGGTCCGGCCACGTCCTGGCCCAGGTTTTGCCTTCATGACATGAGAAGTCACACCTGAGGGATGGGGGGCCGAGGGCACGGAACTCGATGTGCCCTTTCCGAAAATCCCCGCGGACGGTGGGGGCGCAGCTCACGTACCGAAGGCCCCCACGCAAGTGCGATGTGATTCTCCTGGGAAAGCGAACCGCCGCTTCTCGTCCCCGTTTGGCCGGTTAGGGGCAGTCACCCAGCAACCCCGCGGTGCCGACAGAGCAGAGTGCGGGTGCTCATTCTCCCGAGCGCCACTGGGGAGCCCCCTAAGTAAAGGGGTGCTTTTAAGAAGCATCCTTCTGTCTGCCTTCTGTCCCTCTGGTGACCAGTCTCCTGAGGCAGAGAGAGGGCCCCGCGCAATAAGAAATGAGAAGCACGTGTGCACGGCTGAGGGCGTGGCCATTGCAGCCGGTTCCGGCCCGGTTCAAACTCTGGGGCTCACCCATTCCGGCCTTGCCTGCCGCTGCATTAGTTGCTCCCAGGAGGGTCTCAAACGTCTCAGAACGTTGACTGAAGCCGCCAAATTCAGTCGGGAAAGGAACGATTCACGTGCCACCCACCACGGGGAGGAGAATAGGGCCGTCTGTTTGTGCAGGGTCTGACCGAGACCCCGACACGGAGGTTTGAGGGTGCCAGGAAGACCCCCAGGTGGGTGCCCACGTCCCCCTGGCTCGCAGGGTACTCGGAGTGCCATCTCTTGCTCTCATTCCTCTGAGTCAGGATAAAGGTTTCTCTGAAGTTATAAAAAGCTGTTGCCCTGGCTGGGTCGCTGAGTGGGTTGTAGCATTGTTCCAGACACCGAAAGATTGTGGGTTCGATTCCCAGTCACGGCACGTGCCTGGGATGTGGGTTTAATCCCTGGTTGGACGCATTGGGCGGCAGCCAGTCAATATTTCTCTCTCTCTCTCTCTCTCAAATTAATGAGCATGTCCTCGAGTGAGAATTTTTTTAATTTTATTTTTAATATAAAGAGCTGCTGTATCCGTTCAGGTTCTATTTGGCTGTGTGCAGCAGAAAATTCAAAACAGCAGCTGCTGGAGGCCAGTGGGTGACGTTTCTCTCTTCCAAGTCGCCCCTTCCTCTCTCCCCCCACGTGCAGCCCCGAGCGGAAGTGGCTGTTGTCCTGCGTTTGGGCGGGAAGGACCAGAGGAAGGCAGAGCCCATGGGGCGTCCCAGCGACTGGGACGGAAGGCCTGGGAAGCTTTGCTGGGATTCCCCAGTTGAGACCGAGAAGTGGCCGACGCCGTGCCCATGGGCAGGAGGCCTCCCTGGAGGAGCAGCCGCGTGGGACCCTGGTGGGGTGGGGGGGCGGGAGGAGAGAAGGTCAGCGAGGGCCGAGGTCCCTCTCGCAATTGGGAACAAGGGGATGAGGTTCAGATGGCCTGCAGACACGTCCCCGGCTGGAGCCTGTGGAGTCCGACTCCAGAAGGAGCAGGGACAGAGGGGCACTGGCCGTGCAGACAGGCCCAACCAGGGGTGACCCTCCCCCGGGAGGGGTCTCCACCCAGGGCCTCAGGCACCAAGAGTTCCAGCGACAGCGTCAGGGCGCTGAGGGTTGGAAGGACTGAGTCGTTGAACTTCCCCTTCCAATGCCAGCCACTCGGAGTGTCTCACGGGCCAGCCGGCCTGAGGCTCCCATACGCGACCCCCTGACCAGGCGTCTACTCCGTAACAGCATCCCCAAACCATGCCCCACACCTGGGACTAGAAAAGCTCTGGTCCTCTGACTGCCAAGCACAAGGCGTCCCCCCCACAGCCCAGGCCCCGGGAGCTCCAGGTCTGTTCCTAGGTTGCCATCACCAAAGTAAGGTGCCCACAACCCCAACCTCGCTGATCAAAAGTCCAAACACCAACCCCGATGTCCACGGACACAGTGCGAAGTCCCTGCCGTGTGTGAGCCAGGCACACGAAGGGACAGACCCACCCAGTAAGCCAGGAAGGCCCGGCTGTGGGGCAGAGAGGGCGTGGGACCCAGTGCCTGCGGCAGGCTGGCGGGAAGGCCAGGGCGCCCGGGGGAGGTGGCGTCCGGGCACATGGACGGCCTTGCCTGCCAGCTGACGCGCGGCCTGTCCTGTGTGACGGTGACAGCCCGGAAGCCAGGGGACACTGCCTGGCAGGTGTGTCTGGCTCTGAGGGAGGCCAGCCGTGCGCCCGCCCCAGCCCCGCTCGGAAATCCGACATCACTGTTTCAGAATTCTCCCTCCCTGCTGCCCTGTCGTCCGGGTGACCCCAGAGCCACCCTGGGAACACGGGCACCTTTCCCTTTAGAAATGCTTCTCAATGAACAGAGCCCGCGGGCTGTTGGCAGATGTTACTCTGAATTATTTACCAGCCGTTTCCTTAAGAGCATCACTGGGATTGGGAGTGAAGTGCCTTCATTGGGGCGCCCCAACAAGCTAGGTGCTGGGGTAGCAGATCCAGCGCCACCCCGATGAGGACACCGCAGGTTCCCGTGTCGGTGTGAGAGCCAGTGCGGCCTAAGCCTGCGGGTACTCAACCCGGGGGTGAGGGGACGGTCCCTCTGTTGGGCTTTTGTCATGAAGCAAAACCGGCTCCCTCTGGCGGCTGGTATTATGGCAGGGCTCCTACAAGGTTGTCCCAGCTGCGGTCTCTTCCGCGCCTGTCCCTGGGCTCATGGGCTTCTCCCTGCTTCTTCCTGAGTGACCACCCACAGGACGTCCCCTCTTCTCGCAAGTAGGAAGGGACACGGGAGAGGCCAGGAGGTGACGGAAAGGATGGAACGGTGGTCCCGTCAGGCCCCCCGTGGTCTGTGTGTCGGGGCTCTGCTCACGGCGGCCTTTCCCGAGGGTGGGGTGGCGGTCAGTGTGCGGACAGCTCCTTCGAGAGAGAGGTGCACAGTGGGCGGGCCAGCTGGCGTCCGGCTGACACCGAGTGGGGACTGGGCAGAGCACGTGGCATGTCCACCCCTCGGCCCTGTCTCCAGGGATGCTGGGCACGCTCTCCGTGCATGCTGTCACACACACATGCACTCACACACACGTGCACTCACACACATGCAGTCACACATGTGCACTCGCACACACATGCACACACACACATGACTTCCTGCAGAAACATGGGGAGCAGAGCAGGCTGCCCTTCTTTTTCAGGTCGGTTGCTATCGGGTTTCAGAAGACTCTGGTCACTAATTTCCCAGAATTCAGCCTAGTGGTGATGCCCCGACGCCCAGACCAGTGGGGTCTGGGAAGAGCCCGGGGTGGGGGTGCTGTGCCTGCCTCGGGGCGCAGCCGGGGAGGCCGCCCCCGGAAACAGGCTCTGAGTCTCCACATCGGATAATAGCTAATTGCATGCAAAGCTGACGGAGGCTCACATTTAATTAAGGAGTGGCCATCCAGCTGCTGCAGACTGGGGGCACCCACAGCCCCCCCCACATCAAAGCAGAGCCCTTGGGGGGACGGGCGATCTCATTTCCTCTGCCGAGCGGCCCTCTTCGAATGCAATTACGGGGACAAATAACATGGCTTAACCCAGCTCCCTGTGGGAACACCCGCTCTCTGCTGATAAAGCCAGTTGTGTGGGCAGTCGTGAAGTGAGAGGTCTAATATTTAACTAAATTTAATAGTCTACTGCCGTGGTGCCTTTCCATGCAGGGTGGGAATTCAAGGGGGGGTGAACTGTACAAATGGAGGTGCTGCACCCAGGTGTGATTGGCCCAGGGCTAATGCACGTGGTCCCACGCGATGCCGCAGCTCAGAGCTGCGGGAATCGCAAACGGCACTTTGGTGGTGAGTTTGCATTCGGTTACCTGCAGGCCAGCTTAACCTGTTACCTGCAGCCGGGCAGCAGAACAACAGGCCCCTGAGCCTCTCCTTCGGGGTCAGCACTGGAAGCAGCCGGGTGAGAGCAGGACTTGCAGATTCAAATGCACCCCAGAGGAAGAGGGGCGCAGGTCCCACCACTATGAGAGGCTCCACTCACCCCCTTCCGTGGAAAACCAGGGCCGGCCAAGGGCGGCCTCGCTGCAGAGCCTTCCCGGCGAGTGGGGCTGCATCTCCGGGAGGGACGGGCCCGTCATTGTTCTTGTTAGGAAAGGCTGTAGCTGAGTGCCAGCTAATGCCACGCCTCTGTGGGAGTGGCCATGTCTTAGCACGACCCACATTCGCACCCCCCAGGGCCCGTGGCTGGGGCTTATCTCACGGCAGACAGGCCACGACCTCGGGTCTGGGAGGCCGAGGCTTCTGCGTGCCTTTGTGGGGCCCCTGCTGGGCCCCTGCTGTTCCCAAAGGGACAGTGCCATGTTCATCGTGACACGCGCTGGCCATGACGTGTGTAAAAGGGCCAGCGTGACTGGACGCGCTCACGGGAGCATCCCCTGAGGATAAAATTCCCTCTCATAGACCACAGGCTTCCCCGCAGGGTGGCTAACACCAGCAGGAAACAAGGAGTCGGGCTTTGTTACCTGTCGGAGGGTGGAATGCGGTGGGCGGGCCGTCTCAGGAGAGGACTGATGTGGAAGGCAAGGGGCTTTTGTGCCCCTGGGGCGGTAGGCAGGGGTGGCACCTGTGTGACCTGCAGCCCAGGGACCAGGTGGGCGCGTGTCAGGTGAGGCGCAGGGCCAAGCATGTCTCTGACCTGGAGGCAGAGGGCGAGGGTTGGGCTGGCAGCGAATGCCCCTCCACACGGAGGTAGGTCCCCAAAGCCAGAGACCCTGGTGATAAAGGTGAGAAACCGGGGGCTTACATTTCCCCGGAACACCGGATGAAGACGCCCCTCCTGGTCTCCCGCCCTCCCTCGGGCACTGCCTTTCTCGGGGAACCACTCACCCCAACGTGAGCAGGGTCCAGCACCGATGGACCTGTTTGATTACAAAGTCGTTTATTACAAAAGCACAGGCACGCCATTCCGTAATGACACTCCAGCGCACCACATGACATTTCAGGTGGCACGGTCACATGATGATGATCCATCGTTGCACCTGTGTGATTGGCCTGCTGGCCACACTCAGTCAGGCAGACCTCACTTCTGCTGGACCCCGTACAAGACACTGGTCTCCCCAAACCAGCAGTCGGGAGCTAAAACGCACCCGGACTGATAGTGTGAGAAAAGTCCGTGGCAGCAAAACTCTGCATGCGGTGCGGGGGCAGGGGGTCAGCTGCCTCCTAATACAGTGGGGAGACCTCCCACCCACCCAGGCTCCCGACTGTCAGTCACCTCAGCGAGGTGGCTAATGTCTCCGTTTCATGGTTGCGTGACAGCAGTCACACTAGTGGCCACCAGGACCGGCATAGGCCTGAGCGGCAGGTTGCACATGAAAACCCGCGGCTTCAGGGGGATGATGACGGACTCTGAATGCGCTACACTTTTCACTCTCTTTCAGAAATGTTCGACCTGGAAACAAATGAACACATGCAGAAGGCCGTCAGTGACCGGCAGATGCCCAAGGTGGAGTACAGGCAAATCGAGATGGACGAGTACCGTGAGTAGTCCCCCCGAAGGGGCAGGCAGACCTCCGCCCCGGGTCGGCCCCGAGGTCTCACCCACCCGCTCCCTATGTAGACAGTTACTCTGCAGGGGTGGGCGTCCTGGTACGGGGAACCCAGGTGGTAGGACACCATAGGTTCTAAGGAAATATGTCAAAAAAAAACAAAGCTGGCCCACCCACATGGAGGACGCCCTTCACTGGTCAGACTTCCACACCGGATCCGGAGGCCCGGTGTCCAGGTCCAGGTCCGTGAGAACGCTCACATTAACTGGATAGGCATTTTTGTGCGGTTCTTTTGCAAGGAAGAACCAAAAACAAAACAAAACAAGACAGTTTCAGATTGCTAGTGGAGGATGGACAGATGGATGAATGGAAGAATGGATGGATGGACAGATGGAGGATGGATGGATAGGTGGATGATGAATGGGTAGATGGGTGGATGGGTGGATGGATGGACAGATGGACGGATGGAGGATGGATGGATGATAGATGGAGGGTGGATGGATAGAGGATGGATGGAGGATGGATGGATGGATGATGAATGGATGGATGGAGGATGGATGGATGGATGGAGGATGAATGAGTGGATGGATGATGAATGAGTGGATGGATGTTGGATGAATAGGTGATGGATGGAGGATGGATGGATGGAGGATGGATGGATGGATGGATGGATGATGAATGGATGGATGGAGGATGGGTGGATGCAGCCCTCAGGCCAGGCCCAGTGAGGAGTGGTAATCGGGGTGCTTCTTTCCCAGTTTAGCATGACAGCAGAGCATTAAGCCCACAGAAGGCCCTTACACGGGGCCGCACGTGTCTGCCCAGGTCACACCCTGGGAAGCCAGCCGGGTGGACCTCCATGGCCGGACTTCAGGTTCCTGACTCCCCCTCCCCGGCCGCCGGTCCGCAGGCCTTCCCGAATGCTCCCTCAGAGTCTCCTCACACCCACCGCTTCCTCCCACAGCCTCTGGGGACAGGTGGCCTTCCTTTGCGGGATCCCTCCCTCTCCGGTCCTCTCTGCACCCTGCTGCCACCATGACATTTCCCAAACCGCAGGACACTGAAGGGCAATCCACCCCCTTCTCAAAAGGTGCAGAAAAAACCTGCAGAAACCAATTAGCAACCTGCACCCTCCCTCCCTCGCTGCACGAGGCCTCTTTCCATGCTGAGGTTTCCATGGACGGGGAAGGGCGGATGCGCAGAACACCTGAAAGGTGCCACCCTGCAGACCTGCCTGTGTCACACTGTGCTGTGGTTTCCCATCTCCGGCAATGCGGTCTGCCCTTCCCGCCACCCTAGCCGAGGCTGCCCACGGGCTTATCGGAGGCAGGGAGCAGCAGACCAGGTTTTATGGTGGTTCGGTGATAAAGCCCGGGCCTGCCTGTCCGCTGTCCCCCGGCCATCCACCCCATTTGCAAGCCATTAACATTCAGCTCCAATCTCCAAGGAGACCCAGTGAGAGCAGGCTCCCCAGCCTGGGGTGGGCCTACCGGAATCCCGCGGGGAAGGCAGCTAATTCTGATTTAATTGCTAATCTGGGTTCTAGTTAATGTCAATGAACAATTTCTATCCTGGGTGGGCAGGTTTGTCTGGGGGAAGGACCAAGGAAGTGGCGAGGAAAATTCCACACACACGCCCCCCCACCCCACCCACCAGTAGATGCCGCGGTGCCGGGCACCAGATGTGCACCAGCTCCCTTCCCATGCGTGTGCGTGCGTCTGAGTGTCCAAGTGTCCCAAGTGTCCAGGTCCACAGGCGGGCACCCCTGCCCAGCACCAGCCTGCGAACAGTAAGGCTGGCAGCGCCTGCGGCTTTGCACAGAGGGTCCCCACAGCCCCAGCCTCCCCTCTGGGCTGCCCCCCCACCCAGCCTCACTGCCAGCCCCTGCCTCTGGCCCTCTCCTCCTGGTCCCCACTTTCCCCAGGGCCCCTCTCCCACTGAACTGCACCTGTGCCCTCTGGTTAGTTCTCCCTGCCTGGATTCCCCCCCCCACCTTTAGCCCTGGGAGAATCGTGTCTTTCCTGTTTTCCAACGCATTGTGTTTGCAAGATGGAATTCAAGCCTCCGCTGGAGAACCACACGGGCAGCCCCACGCTGCCCGCGCCACGCCCTCCCAGGCCCGGAGCCCTAACCTGCCACCTGTGTTCCCTGTCTGCCAGGCCTGCCCGTCCAGATCCTGAAGCCGGCCACCTTCACCGAGACCACCCACTACCCCCTGCTCCTGGTGGTGTGAGTACCCTGCCTCTTCCTTCCTGGGGTGCTGGCTGGGAGCTCAGTAACCCCTAGAGACAAATCCAGAACTCGTAAACCCCATGACAAGAGGGAGCCATGATGTCTTTGACTGTAGGTGACCCCGGGCATCAAGGGACAGCGGGCTCTGTGCCCGCCCCCCCGCCCGGGGGCAGTGTGAGCAGGTCCACGTTCAGATTCCACACAACCGTGGCTGGTCCTCGGGCTCAGCCCCAGTCTGGAAGTCCAGCAGCGTGTCCCAGCACACACGCAGGGCGGGTGTGGTCTGTGGCTCGCGGGGGCCTGAGCAGCAGCTGGCACTGCCCGGGGCCTGGCCCACTGGCTGGGGTCATGTTCCCAGCTATAAAGCAGCCTTGAACCCGTGCCCTGGCCAACAAAGAATTATTTCAGATATTCCTGTGCTAATGAGCAGGCCTCCGGGTTTAGAACGGCTTTTAAGAGCTCTCTAACCTGCCCTGACGGCGGGGGGCAGGTCCGATCAGGCCCCCGTCTCCCAGTGGGGAGCAGCCAGGCCCTCAGCAGGTGCCGGGGTCGACTCGCCCCGTGGAAGGGTCAGCCCATCCCTTCCTCCCTGTCTGGTCTTCCCCGCACTCCGCCTGATGGCTTGGAAGGGGTCGGTGGGGAGCAGGGTCCCCCTGGGGGTGTGTCGGGGCCACAGGGTGGTCACCCACATCAGCAGCGAATCTGATGAGCCAGCTCGGTTGGCCCCACACACCCCGGCACCTGGTCCCAGACTCTGCAGTTCACCTGCTGTCCTCACTGTCCAGACAGGCTTGCACTTGGCCAAGAACTGCACTCACATAGAGCTTACACCTCACACACCACATGCACACACACAATACACGCCCTGTGCATACACACAACACACATGCCACGTGCACGCATACCACACACATATCACACATGTGTACACACCAACACATACCACGTGCATACACACAACACACATTTGGGTCCCTCTGGTCATTCTGAGTAGGTGGTTCTGTCAGTGGTCCGTCTGTTACTGCGTCCATCCATGGCACATCCATCCATGGAAATTCCCTTTCTGCCCACATTCATGGACACAACACGCCAACATACCACACACAGTACACACGTCTCCCGCACCACCCCGTTCTCCTGATGAAACAGACTTTCATCAGTCTCTCAAAGAAACCAAGGACAGTGTTCTCTCCCCCCCTTGCTGGTCTCTTCAGTGACCTCAGAGAGACCCCAGGGCCCCCCCAAGGTGACCAAACTGGGGCACCCAGCCAGCAGGGGGCAGCCGGGGGGGCAGCGGCGCTGCGTGGGCACAGCCGCCCAGGAGGCCCTCCAGCCCCGGCCGGTCTGTTGCAGGGACGGCAGCCCGGGCAGCCAGAGCGTGGCGGAGAAGTTCGCGGTGAGCTGGCCGACGGCGCTGGTGAGCAGCCACGGAGCCGTGGTGCTGCGGTGTGACGGCAGGGGCAGCGGCTTCCAGGGCACCAGGCTCCTGCACGAGGTGCGGCGGCGGCTGGGCGTCCTGGAGGAGCGCGACCAGCTGGAGGCTGTGCGGTGAGGGTCCCCCCGCCCGGGGCAGGTCCTGGCAACAGCAGGGGGTGGGCGGGGGAGGCTGTGTGTCCCCTCAGCCCCACACCGGCCGCTCTGATGCCTTTCTGGTCAGGGCCCATGTTTTGCGTTCAAAATAGTCCGACATGAGTGTTTCCGTGGAGAAAGCCCCCCGAAACACTCACTGGCTGGGTTGCTTCTCTATTTCATGGGTCAAAATGTGGCACAGAAACAGAGGCCTCGGGTCGTCCTGCCGGGTCCCCCTGTGACAGAGAAGGGCCGCGCTCACTTAGGTGGCCAGTCAGAAAGCAGCTCTGTTTGGTCCATCGCTCGCCACACGCCTGTCTCGGTGTCAACGAGCCCAGCCAGGTGTCACCAAGACAAGAAAAGGCTGGGCCCAGGAGCTCCAGGGGCTCACGATTGCTGACCGAGGGTCGCAGGTGCCCAGGAAAAGAGGCACCAGGCCCCTGTGCCAGCCTGCGTCTGGCTGCCGGACTTGCCGGGCAGACAAGGAGTTTCTGTGGATGGATGTGCCATGGATGGACGCAGTAACAGACGGACCACTGAGAGACCCGCCTACTCAGAAGGACCAGAAAGACCCAAAGGGCGGCCTTCCTCATGACCACGCAGCCTGGGGGGGGGGGGCAGCACCCAGAGCCCGACTGCTGAGCAGTTGCCGACTGAGGGTCAGGAAGCTGGGCACCTCGCTGCCTCGCCTGTGGGGTTCACAGGTTTGAAAGGATTTGCTTCACTGACTCTCCCCGATGTGTTCTCCCGTGTTGCACAATGGTGGCGGCAGTGGCGTGTGTCCAGACAGTGGTCTTTAAGTGACAGCGAGGGAACAGGTGCCCGCTGTCCTGCAGGGAGTTGTGAACTGGTGGTGGAGCGACAGGCAGTGTGTCTGGACCCCCATGTGCATCGCAGACAGAAGACATGAAGGAGGGAGAAGTGTCCACAGACTGGACAGCGCGGGAAGGTGCATCTGGGACATGCTTTTGCCTGGAAGTTAACAAACACAGCTTCACAGCATCAAGTGGGCTTTTTAACAAGGAACAATGTTTGCTCTGGAAGGCCCAGAGGGGTGGCAGGCCCTGGGGCTGCTGGCTCAGACACCCAGGCCCTCAGCATCTCCCTTCTCAGCTGGCCACGGTGGCCTCCTCCTAGGCTCATTGTCCTCATGTGCACAGGATGGCTGCTAAGAGCACGTCATTGCGTACTTCATTCACCCAGCAACTTGAAAAGGGAACTACTTCCAGAAACTTCCAGAAGGGAAGGGAAGCACCCAGAACAGCATTCCCTACATCTCCTGCACCCTCCGGAGCCTCACACCTTCAAGGACATGTGGGCGGTCACCTTGGGGCCAGCAGGTCCACTGTGGGCCCAGCCAAGGACAGAAGGGTGGGACGCTGTCGGGAAGGTCAGGTAGGGGGATGCCGGGTCGGCAGCCAGCTTTGTCCACCACGGAAGATGTCTCGGGCTGGACTCAGCAGCCACCACAGGGTGGTGCAGATGTCTCAGCTACATCTGCAGCCGCGAGGGGCCTGCCCGATGGGGTTGACAACGCCGTCCCCTCCTTGCTGTTCCTCCTCCTCGCACCTTTCCACCTGCCACTGCTTTCTCCCGTCCTCGCTCACCCTGGCCGGACCCCTCCCCGTGGGGTGCACAGGCCTCTCAGGTCACAGAATCACACGCGCCCTTCGGCCTCTGGGCTGAGTCTGGCTGCTCCCCTCCGAGCACTGGGTGCGCGGCGTGTTCTAAAAACAAGGATTGATCCGCCACCTGATTGAAAGCAAGAGCAGAACCTGTTCCGGGAACCCTATGTCAACACAGCGGTTGACACAGTGTCACAGTGTCAACTGTTAAGCCACCAAAGACTACAAGGACAGGGACAGGTAGCCGGTGGCACCTGTGTGACTCGTAAGCAAGTGGACTCTCTGAGGAAGCAGAGACCCAAGAAAACGCCCCTGGGCTCAGTTTCGGACGGGGTCTGCGTTTCCACTCGTCAGCGAGAAATGGCCCTTTGATCAGTTTGAGAAACCGTGAGGCCAGCCCGGCACACCAGCTCGCCGAAGCTCCCGGCCCCTTGGAGGTCCCTGCTGTCCCCCACCTCTTGCTTTCGGGCTCGGGGTGGCACTTTCCATCACTGGGGACGTGCACAAAGTCCCCTCACCAGGCAAGCTGGGGTCAGGAAAAGGGACGGTCCCGTGATGGAAGGTGAAGCCATTATAGCGTTGGATGGGCCTTGGGGCAAACAGCCACCCAGAAAGGGCCCTGGGGGCCGAGGCCTCGCCACCAAGGGTGGGCAGGGTTTGCCGGGTGGAGCACGGGAGCTGCCGTTCCACACAGAACACACTGCGAGCCAGGACGAGGGGGCCGTGCAGGGCGCCGCGTGGGTGGGTGGTGGAGGGGCCGGCGTGCGAGCGGACTCGGCCTGGGGGCACTCAAACCGAAGCACTGGCTAAAGGAAGCACAGGTCAGGGACCCCCTCAGGGAGTTGGGGACAAAAGACACCTCGGATAGGGTGGGGTCCCCACCAACCCCAAAGCACCCTCGCAGCATCTGGGAGGGTCGGGAGTCTCGGGGTCCAAGTGAGGGTGGCGGCAGCAGGTCAGGGACCCCAGCACGGCCTTGGCTGCTCTGCGCTCGGAAGTCTCAGTCGGCGAGCCCCATGTACCTGGATGGCCTTCAGCGCCATCGAGAGGGACCCTCAGGCTGTCACGTGGGCAGAAGCCTAGACACCAGCTAGATGGACGCAGTGAACACACGGGTCAGAATTCCAGCGTCTCCTGGGGCACGTGGGGCTCTCTACACAGAGACGGCCATGGAGCAGGGCCAGGCCCCCCGGGGATGGAGAGGCAGCCCCACTGGGTGACTGACACCTGTTCTTGGGCTTCGCAGGATGATGCTGAAAGAGCCGTACATCGATAAAACACGCGTGGCCGTGTACGGGGAGGTGAGTGTGCCGTCTGTCATCTGCCCCCCCCACCTGCCTGCAGTTCAGGGCCATGTCCTGCAGGGTCCCTCCCTCACCCGGGCCTGGCTCAGGTTTCCGGGGAGTGTCTCTGGTCTGGTGGCGAGCGAGCAGTTATTTCTTTAAGAGTGAAACGCCAGGAGGTGAAATGCATGGGGTTTCCTCTGGGAAACCGACTGGGCGGGCTTTGTGTTTCGGAGACGTTCTCTGCTAAAACCAAGATGCAGGGGCTGAGTTTTCCCCTGCACGCCGCCCCCCCACCCCATGCACAGCCTCCCCCACTATCAGCGCCACCACCAGAGGGAGCACCGGCTGGGACCGGTGAGGCCACAGGGACACCCCGAGGCCATGGGTCACTCTAGGTGTCATCCACTGTATGACTTGGGAGAGATGTATAAGGACCTGCGTCCATCCTTCAGGGCCACCCAGGGCAGTCTCTGCCCCTCCCACCTTCTCCTCCCTGACCCCGCCCTTCCCTCTCCCCCACCACTGGGTCCGGGGAAGCTCGAATCCATGTCTGGCCTCGTTCCCTGGGCAGCAGGCAGCCCCTGTTCTCTCGCCCCCACCAGACTCCAAAGGGCAGCACACGAGGCAAACCACAGAACAACGCCAGAATCACCGGTTTCCCACCGATGACCTGGGGAAACTCCTCATGTGGAAATTATAATATGATGGCACAGAGGCCACGAGAGGTGTTGGGGCAACTCGGCTCCAAGCCGGGTGCAGGGGAACGCCTTCCAGGCCCCTCCCTGTCTGTTCATGGTTCTCAATCCCCCCCCTTCAGTGCCGAGTAGCCACCTGCCATCTGCGTGGGCCGCAGTTTATTCTTCCATCCGCTGCCGACCGGCATCCCGGTCGCTTCCTAGCTTCAGCGGCTAAGACTGCAGCTGCAGTAAACATCCGGGTGCAGGAAGGGGGTCTTCTGTGTGAACCCCAAGGCAACGGCACACACGTGGGCGTCTGGCTCATGGCGGCCCCCGAGCCGGCTCATCGCAGCAGCCCTTCGACACGGGGCCGGCCTCCCCTAGAATCACGCAGCACCATCCTCCACGGCTTGGCTTTGCCTGGAGACCAGGAACTGGCAGGAGACACAGGGTGAAGGTGCTTGTTTCCAGGCCTCGGTGCCAGCCCTGCACCCCACAGCACCCCCCATACCCAGAACCCAGTCACACTTCAGGTCACTCTCACCTATCACCTCAAACTGGGGCCCCAGAGAGGACAAGATGTGCATCACGGAATATGTAGTTGGGAAGGTATTCGGTTTTTATTTCTTACGTGCCTTTTAAAAACTCGAAGTTAAACTGTTTTCTTTAAGCAGCTCCATGAGAATGCTTGCTTGAGTGGCCGGTGCGTCTAAGGTCGCTGTCACGGCTGAAGGACTGACATTCGCCCCCACTGACCACCTTTCTCTCTGCCCAGGACTACGGGGGCTACCTGAGCACCCACATCCTCCCTGCCAAGGGTGAAAACCAAGGCCAGATCTTCACCTGTGGCGCTGCGCTCTCTCCGATAACAGACTTCAAGCTCTACGGTAAGCCCGTGACTAGAGGCCCCTGTGGCCTCCCTCCGGTGCCGTGTCCCCACCTGCCCCCACATGGGCACCAACGGTGGGTTGTCAGGCTCATGGGGGAAGCGCAGACAGAGGACCTGAGGGAGGACTTCAAGTCACTGGCCCCCGTGCCTGTGAACTGCGTCCTAGCTCTTGCGACCAGAAGACTCAGCCAGTGGTTCTGACCCTGGTGTGTCCGCCGGTGAAAAGGAACTGAGATTCCCCAGAAGTGCCCCAAATGGGCTCCGTGTCCTGAGGAAGGGGGCGTGGTGGGCAGATGGGCGGAGCAGAGACTGCTGCGTGCAGTGCGGTGGAAGTGGGGGCAGTTCCGAGGGCTCAGCCCCCCTCTGCCAGCCCTTTCCCTGGACAGTGCGAGCCCCTGTCCTTGGAGAGAGTGAGGGGGTTTCTCACTGGCATGAGCCAGGGGCAGGGTCCGGCCTTGGTCTGTGCACAGAGGTGGCTCCGTGTCACTGTTAGGGGGTCTGAGGCTCCTACCTCCCCCTCCCTCTGGGCAGCCAGCCCCTTTGCTCTGGACGTGAATGGCTGTGTGACATGAGTCCCCCCCCCAGATGCCCACTGAGGGGTCCAGGGACCACTGCGGCGCCGAGCAGCCCCGGGCTTTCGCGCCAACCTTTACAAATCGCTCTAATGCAAATATCAGTGGGCCATCTCCCAAGACCCTCAATTCCAAATTTCGTTAGATGAGTTTTCCCCCAGGAATGCACGTAGAAGATTTTATATTTTTGAAACTTGGTGAGTCTTTAATTTTTTTTCATTATGCCATTTCCCACGTGCCTGATTCTCGGGCCCGTCAATGCTGCCGTCCCCCCACCTGGCGGCCACCCCGCCCCGGATGGGACGTTGGCCCTGCTGCTTGATGAGGGATGTCCCCGAAACCTGTGGATGCTGTTTGCGGCTGTTTGCGGACAGGGCAGCCCCCAGGTCCTCACGCAAACCTAGGCCAGGGCTGGGAACGGAAGGGGACGTGCCGAGGCTGAGCACAGGGCAGATCCCGGGGGAGCTGGCTCTGAGTCTTCCTTCCCCCTCCCGCACGGCGAGCGGACTGGGGAGCCGTTTCTTTGGGGTTCTGGCTAAGCAGGTTCTGCTAAATTAAGGTTTCACCTTGCTGCCTGAACCCCAGTCCCGGGCATTCATGTGTTTAAATGTCTCCGCGGCCACCCAAGAGGCGGAGTCGGGTGTTTTAAAGACGCGGGCTGGGTGAGAGCAAGTGAGCTCACCCTGCCACAGCCCGGTCCTCAGGCGTCCCGGGGGGTCCCGTGTGCAGACTCTGCACAAACGGTGACCCTCTGTCCCTCTCTTGTGCACAGCGTCTGCTTTTTCCGAGAGGTACCTGGGCCTCCACGGACTTGACAACAGAGCCTATGAGGTAAGTGCAGGCCACCGATGCACCTGGGCCAGACAGTGGGTCCCCTCTTCTCTGAGCTCCTCTCTCCCTCCCTTCCCTCCCTGAGCCCAACCCGAACCCACACGCCCTCCCAGGGTGCCATTCCTGACCTCTCCTCCTGTCAAGGAGACTTCCCCACCCTCCTCCACCGCTCTGTGACCAGAGGCAGCTGCGACCCCCTTGGGTTGGTGTCATGTTCCACTCTGGAACTCGGGGGACAAGGAAGAAAGTAAGAAAGTCTTTGGATGGCAGGGTCTGTCCCACGGTCCTCAGAGGTGGGGTGTACGTGCTCCCTGCCCCCACCCTGGACTCAAGGCTGCTTCCGCTTTAGAAGAACCTATTGCTTAGAGGTCAGATGACCCCCAAGACCCATCTTGCTAAGTCGAGGCCATTCAGTGGCTCGATGGGACAGCCCCATGGAGGCCAGCCTTGTGCTGTGCAGCAGGACAGTGGCCTGAGGTTGAAACTTTAGCAAGGACCATGGAACGGTCCGGCCAGGATGTCATCTCCTCTGAAGCCAGAGTGTCTCCATTCCTGTCCCCGCCCCCTCCTCTTCATCAAAGGGGTTTGTGGGAGGAGAGCAGAGGCTTCTGGGTAGGCTGGGCATTTCTGTGGACAGAAAGCCCCAGTTCTCTGGAAGTCTCACTCCGAGACCCCGCCCTGCATTCTCAGGGGTCTCTGTACACACACCACCCCATCCCTGAAGCACTGATGCTAACTCCGTCCTCTTGTCCCACCTGTGCAGATGACCAAGGTGGGCCATCGGGTGTCCGAGCTGGAAGGACAGCAGTTCCTGATCATTCACGCGACCGCCGATGGTGAGGGCGGAGGACAGTCACTCCCTGGGGACCCCATGATGGCCATGCCCCGATGGCATTTTAGGCGTAGACAAACATGTGACTCTTTCCTCTTTTCTCCCAACAGAAAAAATCCACTTCCAGCACACGGCAGAGCTCATCACCCAGCTCATCAAGGGAAAGGCTAATTACAGCCTGCAGGTACACACGCACACACCTGCACACACGCTTGGAGACGCACCGAAGGGGCCGGGCGTCTTCCGAGCAGCTCCCTCTGCTGCCCACACGCCTGTGCCTGTCAGCCGCGGGCCGGTGCACCCGATAGACAAATCAGCAGGGGCTCATTTTTCAAGTCGTTATGACAGTTCCGTCCTGCACTCAGGCGGAGTTTAAGCCCCTTGGGGCCTCCCCTGCCCCCTCCCATCCCCCGTGCACTGAGCAAGGCAGCCGGCAGCCATATCACCCAACTGTGAGGCCATGGTGGCCCTGACCTGTGTGGGTGGGGCTGCAGTCCCAGCATCAGCTGGACCAGTGACGGGGAGCCCTGTCTCACGGGCCACCCCCTGGGCAGCAGCACAAGGTCACCAGTGCCAGCCAGAGGCCCCAGCACCGGCTGCAGCTGAACAGTGAACGGAGACCCCCCCCCCATGCCCACCAACCACCCGTGCCCCAGACCCAAACTCTCAGCCTCCTCACTGCCCTTGAGCTCTGACTCATGGCCCAAGTCCAGGCTCTTTCCAGCAAGGCACAGTGCTGCTTCTGGAAACGACTTCCACCTCCTCCCTGGTGGCTGGTTCCTTTGCCCAAACAGGTATGACCCCGATGTCTTTGGGGGGCCCAGGGATGGATAAATGGGAGATTTCCTCAGAGCCCTGTCTCTCCAGGAGCCCGGGCACTGCCCCCTGCTTGCCCCCTGCTTGCCCCCTGTCCTGTGGAGGGTCACCTGTGGGCTGGGCCAGCCGGGACCGCGTCTTGCTCAGGTGCTCGGCTCAGGTGTGGATGCCAGGGAAGGAAGGGCTTAGTTCATGTGGCACATGAGCTTCTTCTGAAACGTTCAGAGCACAGTGGACCCGTGGTGTCGTACACGCAGGACGTAGCCACAGCAGATGGGCCAGATTCCCCCAGGTAGGGGCTGTTGCTACCTCAGCAAGGTGCTGAGCAGTACACGTCCCACCTGCGGACACAAGGAACACCTTAGCACAGACTCAGTGGGTTTGTGGCAGCGGTCAACTCCACGGTATGGGACATGGGGGACTGGGGCCAGAGGAGAGGTGCTTCCTACTATTTTTCTATTTTTCTTTTCTTTTCAATATACTGCTCTTCTACTAGTCGAATTTTAACGTACTATATAATAATATAGTTTAACAGAGTTTAACAGAGCTATACAATAATAGCTCCATGGCCTCATGAATAAATACTCCAAAATAAAGTGAATGCCACCCCTTCAGAGACGTAACAGAAAAACACAATTCGAATTGCAGGAGGCAGCCGGATACCTTGTCAAGAAGGCGGGCTTTCAGGTTCCTTAGACTTGGCTTTGAATCTGGCTGGCTGTGGACATGGTGTAGCGCCCCTAGTGTATGGGAGGTGTCATTACACGTGGCCAGAGAGGAATTAGCTGCCATCATTTTTAGCGCTCCATAGGCTTCCAGCCCTTGTTCTGAGTGCTTCCCGGGGATGGTGGTGTTTAAGTCCCACACAACATTACAAGCTAGATTCTATTACAGCGACCATCTCCACTGGACACGACCAGAAACTTACCTGTCCACGGCCACCCCAGGAGTGAGTGGTCAGCCAGGATGCCAAGGTGGGAGGCAGCCAGGGGAAGCAGGATGTTGTCCAGGCTCCTAAGGATTAGAGAGGGAGCGCTCAAGATTCTGGCCAGTCCTGTGGGCGCCGCAGCCCCTGCAGGCTTGGGTCTCTGCACACATGTCCATCTTGCGGATTCAAAGCTGTGCTGAGCCGAGTGTCTTCTGGCTTAGCCAAAGCTGATGCACCCTGCTCCCAGCTGACCCTCCGGAGGCTAAGGCCCTGGAACCCCATGGCGAAACTCACTTCGTAGGTTCCCTGGGGCCTGCGTGGTGCCCAGCCTTGCACCCCGCTCTCCGGCAGGGAGGGCCAGCCGCCCCTCACGTCTCGCCTTCCTTGCAGATCTACCCGGACGAAAGCCATTACTTCCACAGCGCCCCCCTCAGGCAGCACCTGCACCGCACCATCGTCAACTTCTTCGTGGAGTGCTTCAGGGTTCAGGACAAAGTGCCCCCAGCCACAGCCAAGGAGGAGGAGGAGGACTGAGCCCCGCCCCGGCCGCTCCTAGTGCAGCGTGGCTCTCCCTGGACCAGTGTGGGGCTGGGCACCCCGCCCCCCTCTCCTGCCCAGCCACCCACCCGCGCTGGGGCGGGGGGCGGGGGGCGTTCCCGATCCCTAGCATGTGTGTCTCGGGCCCTGAAGGCCGTTTTGCTTCAGAAACCAGCTCCTTCCCGGGTGGAGGTGCCTCATCACTCCCACGGGCTTCCAGGAAGCCTGGGGCCAGGTCACAGCCTCCTGCTGGCCACAGAGCGACAGGTGCATCCCGCAGCTGCCCCTCCCCTGCCCCCCACCAGAGGACGTTGGCCCAGAGCGTGAGCACTGCGCCGCCTACCGGTGGCGCTGCATCCTGTCTGATGTAACCACGCCATGGAAACCACGAGAGCACAATCCCTCTATCAGCATTTCCTAGGTTGGCTTGCTCCTTTCCGTGCTAGGACACTCCACATTTTACGGGGCTGTACACCCAGTCTTACCGTAGCGACGCTAATGGTTAACCTGATGGAATTAATTTGTATTTTTCTATGGTTTTTACCTGATGCTGTCTGCGGTCCTGGGGTCATTTTTCTGTGCCAGGTTGGTCTGTTGTCTGTTCATTTGTTATCCTCAGTTTCACGTTGCTTTCTCCCACTGGCCGGTCAGCTTGCCATCTGTTTGTGAGAAGAAACAGATCAGAAGTAACTAACTGCTCACTCCTTAAGGTCCGCTCTGGACTTTTCAGAGACATTTCAAAACCCAGAGGGAGAAGGCATCCATTCCTACTCACTAAAACCACAAAGTGCATAAATAAAAGCTCTCTCCCTGACCCAGCAGCAGTAGGGTTCGCTTAGATACTCATTGTCCATTTGCTGACGCCCCCAGGCCTGTCCTCCTCCCCAGGAAGCTGTCAAGTCCGTCCCGATGACATTTGGTTTTTTAAAAAAATGCAGAAAAAGACAGGGTGCGGACACCGCCCCAGGTCTGTCATGAGAGCTTGGGGGATGGGAACCCTTGAGGAGAGTGAAGGCGTTTTTGGGCATCATCCCCCGCCCTGGGGACACTTGGTGACTGCCCCCCCCACTGTGTGGAGCCGCTGGGGACGCTGTGAGACACCAACTGGACGTTCCGCGCTGGGGCTGCGCACGTTTCATTTTGTTGTTGTACATAAAGACTGGCATGTGCGCCGGATGCCACGCTGTGTCCCCGGCCCCTCCTGCGGTCCCTGTCCCCTGTCACTTGCATGCCGACCCCGGCTGGCCTGCACTCTACACATGCCCGTTTGAAACCTGTCACCACTGCTGTTCCCTCTGAAGCTCGTTCTCTGCCCGAACGTCGGTCCTGACTTCTCCAGCTTCTGGCCCCCGGGGGCAGTGGAGCGGGGGACACTTCGTCAGCAGAGAGGACACGTCCATGTTGCTTCAGGATTTGGGGGTTTGGGCGTCGTCACTGGGAGCCAGCTAGTTCCATCGGAAGAGGTACAAGGGTTTCTTTAAGGTGACGCATCACCGTTTATGGAAGCATCGACGTGCAGACCTGTGGGCCACAAGGTGACGCGGTCATGCTTTCGCCAAATCCGTGGGCTCAGGCAACCGCACGCCACCTAAGTCTGACGGACTGACTGCCAGCTCGGGCCAGGAGACCCAGTGGTGGGAGGGGCGTGGGCACGCGGTGCGTTTGTGCGTCCACAGAATAAAACGTTATTTTACCACTCGGAGAGCTCTCTTCTTCCCATCGAATTGCCTGGGGAGCGCGCAGGGCAGCGAGAAATCTCAGGAACCCACGGGCGCTGACGTGGGCAGAGGCGCCCACAGTGCCGGCCATAGACAGGACGGGACCAGCAAGGCCAGGTGTGGGTTCCGTTGGGAGGGCTCGGGGGTGAGGACAGGTGCCCCTGCCCTGAGGGAAATTGGGCCCCACCCCCACGGAGGCCCAGCACCTGTTGTCACTGAGACCGTAAGCAGGGTGGGGGGGTGGCCCCCGGCACTGGTCCAGAGGCCGGGCCCCCTTTTGCAAACCATGAGCTCCAGGCAGCCATTCACCATCTGAAGTCTGCCCCCCACCACCGCCCCTCGCACGGATTGGGGATCTAAAGCCCAGAGAGGCAAGGGGTCACCCAGAGTCACACAGGAGGACAGCCACTGCCTGACGCCCCTCCCTTTGGCCTTGCTGTGTTTGGTCTCACGCTGAGCTCTGAAGCCTGGGCCTCTTGGGTCTGGACTGTCCCCCTGGGGTCTTCCTGTCTCCAGCATGGGTCCCCCCGCCCAGCCTGGCCCACAGGGAGACCGGCTTGCTGGGAATGGAGGTCAGAGTCTAGATTCCGAACCAAGGACAAGCTGTGGGTGTGTCCCATCCCTTTTAGACTCAGCAGACCGACCCACCAGCGCCCCGGCTTTGGGGGAGTGCCGCCAGGGATTGGTGCAGACAGCAGGGCCCGAATCCATAGCACGCCCAGGACCCCGAGCCCCGGGCAATGACGCACAGGGGCGTGCACCCATGCACTCAGGTGTGCCATGCTGAGCTCCCCCACAGCCCCAGCAGGTGCCCTAAGGTGTGGCCCCAGACCTGCAGAATCCTGCGTGACTATTTCCAACCATGCATCCAGGCCCCTGGGGGGCGGGGAAGCAGCACTTCAGAGCAACACAGGGGGCCTGCCCCCCCAGCATGCTCCCCTAGCGGGTCCACTCTGGCGCGGTGGCCACGGTCTCTGCCACAACCTCCCCCCCAGCACCCAGGCACCTGAATGCCATTCAGGTCATGCTCTACAGGACAAGAGACCCGCCAGCACCAAATGTCCTCAGAGGCGTCCTGTTCCCGCCAACCAAGGTCCAAACTACTTAATGGGACAAGTGATGCCCGCAACCTGCAGCCCCGATTTACTGTGGCAAATGTGTCTCCCAATGGCATTCCCCATGCACCATCCTGCCACGTGGGACCACTCTCCCCCGCACATGCCCCACGCCAGCCTGCTCCACCCTCACGAGCACACACACATTTACACATATTCACTCACACTCGTGTGCACAGGTGCACACACACAACACACGCCTACTTACATCCACATGCACGCTCACATCACGCACACACATTCTCTCCCTGACACCTGGCTAAACTGTTCTTTTTGGGGGGCGTGGCCCCGTGCAGGACAGGGCACCTGCAGCGCGGGCCCCCTCACCAGACCCAAGCCTCGCTCCCAGGTTCCTGCCCCTCCCTGGCCCCTTGGACTGCCTCCGAGGAGCTGGGCATTCTTGACAACTGCACGTCTGTGTGGGCCAAAGGTCGAGCACCAGGGGGACAGATACTGTTATTAATAACAATAACAACTATTGCAACCACCGAGAGCTGGCCTGTCCCGCTGCTATCAGAGCCCCGCTGGAGTGGGCCAGCACAGTTAACCCCCAGGGCCCGTGACACAGCATGTGGTCTGCACTGTGCCCACCAGGGAGCAAAAGGGACAGTGCCACGTCCACTGCCGCATCCACTGTTGGATCCCTCTCTCCGTGACAAGGTCCTGAGAGAGGGTGTAAGACTTCAAGGAAGCAGTTTCCAACCTGGTGGACGTGGCATGGAAGGCCCTGCAATACCTACTGTGACTGTGCTTGCTTTGGGGATCATGACCTTTTTTGCTTTAATCATTATGAATACCCTGGCAGTGATTCAGATAGTGTGCCTAGACCTTTCCCAGCTCAATGAACAGAATAATGATATCATACTAGAAACGTCAGGGAATATAGGTACAAAGAAACAACCAGAACAATCTGAGAATTCAGAAGCTTAATCAATAACAGATCATTGGAAAAACACCCAAGATAAGATAGAATACTCTAGGAAATCAGGAGATGATCTCACTGCTTTCTTAGAGGGAATCAAAGTACAAAACATGTCTATAAAAGAACTCCTAGGGTGGGGTTTCAAGATGGCGGTGGACTAGGACGGAGCAGATACCAGTTCCTAGTACAAAAGAGACAGAAACCTATCCGATCGGAGGAGGTGAGGCCAGAAAGCCAACAGTTGCCAAGCATATATGAAAATAAGAGACCAGAAACCTCATCGGTCACGGAAGAACCAGACGGTAGGGAGACAGCAGCGGTACAGTAGTCTCTGGGACGGAGCAGGGAGAAACAGCCCGTGCAGGGTAGGGGAACCAGCGCCCTGTGGCGAGAGCCAAACAGCTCCTGGGGCAGCCTTCAGCGCCCGGAAAGCTCCCTCCCTAGGATTTTTGGGCCGGGGACCTGCCAAGTGGCCCAACCAGAGGGGAGCAGAGGTGATTTCAGTCTGTGCATAGCTCGGAGGTCCAGCGCCTGGTGGGAACTGTGTCTGGGAGAGTGCCTAATGGCGCCTGGGACAGCGTTCGGCGCCTGGATGGCTCCCTCCCTGGAATTTTTCTGCCAGGCAGGCCGAGTGGCCCAGGCAAAGAGGTGTGGAAGAAACTTCAGCCTGCCCGCAAGTTGGGGAACTAGTCGCTCCACACGCAGTGTGTCTGGGCAAGTGCCTGAGGGCACCTAGGCCAACGTTCAGCGCCCAGAAAGCTCCCTCCCTAGGATTTTTGGGCCCGGACGGGCCGGGGGACCCAACCAGAGGGGAGCAGAGGAGATTTCAGCCTGTACACGGTACTGGGTCCAGCACCCGGCGTGGTGCTGCTACATCCCTAGGGTTTTTTTGGTTTTTTTTGTCTTTTTTTTTTTTTTTTTTTTTGCCAGAGGTTGGCCAGGGGACCCAGACAAACACAGGAGCAGAAGGGATACACACCACGCAGCGTGCCATGACGAGCACACAGAGTTTCTAGGTCGGCGCCCAGTCCTCAGATCTGCTCCCAGCTTCCAGTCTACCCCCCTCAGACTATCTGGAAGCCCGGGGCGCTGAGGGGTCCTGGGAAAAGAGCTGAGACCCTCAACCCCCTCCCTTTCTGGCCAAGCAAGGTGGGGGGCCAGGAGAGACTTGTTTGATAGAGTTTACAGAGAGGGTGCGGAGGACAAAGGGCCCCAACCAAAGACTCTGTGGTTGCCAGCCCAGGAGAACTCAGAGGTGCAGCCTGGGGCTCTGAATCCAGTAGACACGGCAGCCTGGTCTGCTTCACACCCAGCTTGGCAGCAAACCCAGGATTGGGCAGAGGGTCTGGGGCTTCCCAACTGAACGGGGGCAGGCCTGTGCTCAATCCCGAGGGAACCAGGCAACTAGACCGGTGCAGGTGCCTGCAAACACAGCAAACCAGACTATGGCAGTAACCCCTGGGAGGGGAGCGCTGCGAGAAAGTCCTAGTTCCCCATTGTAGGGAGCTGGGGGAGAGGCGCCAAGTGTCTGGATCCTGAGAGGGGCTGGCTGAAAAAAAATCACAACAATCGACCCTCAGCCAACTGCAACCAGAAAAACCAATTGGGCTAGTTTGAAGCCCACAAGTGACATTTCCTTTTTCTGAGGTTGTTTTTGAGAGATTATTTTTGTGCGTTTTTTGTTTTTTTACTTTATTTTATCTTTATTCTTTCTTTTTTTTATTTACCTTTCTTCCTTCTCCATTCCTTTTATCTTTTTGCTTTTTTAAAGTAATCTGTTATTTCTTTAAAACTTTA